GAAATAATCTCGGATTTATTACAATGTCCTAATTTTGACAAAATATTGAGTAGTGCTCAACATGCGAATCATTAATTGTTTTGAATTGTGAAAAATTATCAATTTCATCGAAAAAGATACTAAAATTAAAATTATTTTGCAATATTTGTGAGCGATAGAATAATACTTTGCATATTTTCTTGACATAATTTCTAATAGCTAATTAAAATAGTAATTAAAGTAGAATATTTTTTACATTATTTATTGGTAAATTTAATAAAATATGTACCAAGAGATTGTTTTAATAATTTTCATTTTGTAAAAAATATGTTTATAATGCATATGACGTAATCTCAATCAGTGCTCCAAATATTGAGAAATATCATGTACCACTTAATTATTGTAGTTCTAATATCGCCTACATTCTTAACATGTTTCGTGCACATATTATGTGTAGTTCATAGACGTCATACTGCCTTCAATGCTGCGAAAATTTGCGCATAATATAATTTTCACATTTTACGTCGGAAGAATATTATCATTCATCGAAGCAATATTACAAGGTTGAAAAAATCAAATGACATTTTCTGCGAGTTACACATGCTTATCACGAAGCAATTTTGAGTCACTCGCACTCGTGAGAAAGAGAATTAATTTTGCACTTGCGATTAACCCGTTTTTTTTCATCCCTGCTGTCGACAGTTTAATGCGTTTTTTGCGCGTTCCATTCTCAGATTCCCGATGCTAATGGAAGAAAAGAAAGGTGCAGGAAAAGCTCGCCAGAGGCTGTGTACGAATCGATCGAACTCCAGTTACTCTCTTAGCGTGAAACGAAAGAGAATTATTTCTTTCGACGTTTCTCTCTGTCATCCGTGCACATCTTTTTTTTCTTACAAAGCGACATAATGATATTAGCTTGTTCAGCAGGTTCCGGAAAATTATACGCGATTTTTCAGAAAACTTTCCGCAAAGATGAACTGAAGAGATTCAACGAGAATATACCGGAGTAACTAAACCATGTAGGCACACGGTAAAAAAATATTGTGTTGGAATTTATGTTGGAAACGGCCCACTCACGATCTTGTTAACTGTTTATGTTGAATATTTTTACATTTTTGAATGTTAATTTAATATTATGTGATTATATAATTTAAATATTTTGTCTTAAATTGATATTTAACGTTTCTTAGTGTTAAAGTGATACAATTTATGAGTGAAAAAGAAACATAAAAATAATGTGCTTTAAAACGTAAATTCTAAGACAAACAAATAAAATATGTTATTTTAACATATGATAATGTTAATTATACTGAAAGAAATATACTTACAGTTTCTTTACAAACTGTGTCAGCATTACGTTTTTGTGATCAATTTTTTTGCACAATATCTGTATTGTTTTCTAACATATTCATCTTATGTTAAATGAACATAAAAATTTGAGTGGACCATTTGGGATATGTGAAATGTGTTGTATTCGACACAAATATTTATTTATTCCATATCTTTATAACTAATCAATGAATCGCAATGAAACTTTCCATAAGTTATTTTGAATATTTAAAATACTTATAAAAAAATTTAGATTTATTGTCTTTGAAATTTTGGTTTAATAATTTTAATATAACAATAAAAATAACAAATAAAATTAATAAACTATAAAAATATATTGTTCAATAAAAACGGAATGTTTTGAACAAAACTTTCACATATATATAGTTTACTTGAAGTACAAATATTAATACAGTTGTAAAAGTGTCACCCATCCTCCGCGTGGGCATTACTGAAAATATTTTACCATGAGACCTTGCGTTTAATTAAAAGTCCTTTTTAATTGCGCGAAATTGTAAGATTCAAGTCTGATGAATGAAGGCGTTTGAGAATTAATATGAAAAAAGTGTGGATTTAAGTATATTCAAACAGAATAAATAATATGCTGCATTTATTGCATAAATTATATTTTTGTAATTTAGTGGGTTATAATTACTTTTATAAAAGAAAGATAAACATTTTCCTTGTATTTTATGTAATAAATATAATGTAAATTTATATTTATAGAATTTTATTCGAAGACAAGATTGTAAAAAGAATGTTTATGCAAGACTTCATGTATTCGCACTTCTTGTAAGTTTTGTTACCCACTGAGGATGGTTCTGCGTGAATCGAAACATTTGGAATTTTATTTTTGTAGCTCAATAAGGTTTAAATATTAAAATTGTAATTTTATGCACATACACTGTGCCTGACTGATTGCGCCGTTACTTACTGGTAAATTTATGTCTTTAATTTTGTGTCCAGGAAAATATGTTACTATCAAGTGGTGCGTGTAATTCAAATCATTGTCAGTGTAAAAACGTCGTCGGCGTAATTTATAGTGTACCCGGTTCGCCCATGATTGCGAATTTTGCACGAGACAAGCACGTCGGGAACAATGGGCGTACATGAGATTGATGTAAGCTCGTATACGTACATACGTTGCAGGAAAACGCATTTACTTAGGCAAGGGTAAACGAAGACAGAGGTAGGTACGAATGTGGGCAGTCGGCCAGAGAAACATCTAGCTCTTTGAGATTCTTCCGCTCGCGGGGGCAATGACTTATTCGACGCTGTCGTGAACGTGATACACATGTACACGTGATATACGTGTACATATGTTGTGCAAAAACGGACGTATTCACGTGCGCACACGATACGCGCAAAGTGTACAAATTTTAATTGATCTCATGGAAAATGCGAATGAAGCTATTGCAATCCGCAGCATATCGTTCTTATGTGACATGCATTTGTGACGAGGTCGACGTATCTTTTTTTTTCTACGGCGCGATGGCTTCATCGGATTCACGAACACGCGTTGTGGTCGCTAAACCACAAAACAGATGGCAACTAAATAAAATAATGATTTAATTAATATAGTGTGAATGTGTGTGTGTTATTAAAAGTTTTCGCGGTGATAAAATATTATCCATGACTTTTATACATGACTACTCGTTATGTATAAATTACTCAATTTAAATAATGTATAAACTTCAGTGAATAACAATTCAAAAATATATCATAAGAGGCTGTTTGAGCTTAGCTAGTTAACGTGCGCTAGTTTAAATAATTATATAATTCAAATAATAAACAGTACAAACGTTTCAATCTTTAATGTTGGTCCTCCTCAGCGAAGTTATATAATATAAAATAAAATTGGATCAGTTTTACATACTATTCTTCTTAACAATTTAAATCGATTAATTATCTTTCGTTTGTTCTTTACAATTTACATTAAATTACTTAAATTTCAGCAATATTTGTATGTGTACAAGTATCTTTATAATCTAAATACATTAATGTATTGGTTATTTTCAATTAGGTATAAGTTTGTGTTTTATATAAAAATTTAAAAGTATAATAAAAGGTCTGTTTTTTATTTCTGCACTAAATTGCACTAGAACTCTCTTTCTTGCTTTCGTCAAATATATATCTATCTCATTTCTTAAGTTCCAAAAGTGTATACTACAAAAAATATACCTATAATATTTAAGAAATTGCACAGAGAAACAGTCGCGAATCAGAATTCTGAAGTATCATCATAAATATTGCAGGTCTATCGAGAAACTTGGCAGAGCTCTCACGAGTGGCACGAGTTCGTTTAATTAATTAATTGATGCATCGAATGATTCATTATAAAATATTACAAAACAATGGATGCAATCACAAATTACGGCATGAGTGAAACTTGTTGCCGTGCTGCATGTGCCGATTATGAATGATTTACACGATATTTGCGCGACAATGACACGTTGCACTCCGCCCTATGATAACGTTAATTGATACGACATCTCGCAAATACGTGTATTGTGATAATAGACCAATTACCGCAAAAGCTTCAGAGTCTGCACGATGCTCGTGAAATCGGCATAAAGGTGGCTCCCCCTTTGTGTTGCATTTTTAGCCAATCGATAATAAGATTCCGCAACAGTGTCGTTACTGCAGAATGAATTGCCGCTATTTTAGTTTGACTAATTCGCCTAAAGGAGCTAAATAATCGAAAAACTCAGTGATAAATTCTTAATGACGTCACGGAAGTAAGAGAGAATCTTAATCTGTGTCTTAGTTGTGAGCGAAATATATTTAATTATTATATGCGTAAAATATGAATGAAAAAATAGGCAACAAAAATTTCTGCAAAAATATAATAGTAATTTGTTGTGTCTTATAAAAAAGTCTCTATTATACGTCAAAAGTTTTTCATCATAAATTGACCCATTTCAGCTGATGTTGTATGAAGGCATTTTATATATAATCTTTTTAAGTTTTTTCTATCTTCCCTTTAAAGGGGATGTCATTCACAAATTAACTACCCTGATAGTGAATTATCTTCTAAAAATATCGCACTTTTCTTCCTAAAAAATAAAATGTTTCTGACTGAAATTTAGCATACACAGGGGCCTTATTCTCGAAAAATATGGATACGCAGAAACACCCTGTATTACGTAATCTTCCCGGTTCATTTATTTTGAGAAAACTAAAGATTCCCGTTTAGAGGACTAACCTTTTTTCAACGTACACTACACAAATGCCTGCTTATATATGGTAATCTTCTTGACCGCAAACATAGCTAGAGATAATTAGGTCAAACACATGTACTAAAATATTCCGCAATGTACGCAATCTCGTGATCACAGAAAAGGGTTAACATCGGGCACACCAGGTCGCGTCCCGCGACCTGATTTCGAGAGGACGGCCTTCGCGCAAGGACGCGTGTGACGTGACAGTCGCGACAATCTCGGCCAGAATGTTCCACACATTTCCGTGGCTTTCTAAGAACATCTCTTCATGTTTTAATGGTAATAAAACGGGACTGAGGCTATTATAAGCATCCCGTACAGTATTCGTGCGGGACCAACGGAATCCGATAATCGAATCCTATGCTGACGCGACCACACACGTACACGGAGACACGGCACACACGCTCGCAAGGCTAAACCGAACGTCGCGAATCGACCGGTCGGGTCCGCAAAAGAGAATTCTCGACTGACCTGATTCTCCGAGTTGAGCAGCTTAAGTTGTTCGTTGATGAGGCTGTACTTGGTGCTCTCCTCCTTGCGCAACGCCCGTTCCTTCTTCAGTTCCGGACTCCAAAAGGTCTTGATACTGTGCATCGAGCTGCCCAATTTTTGATTCGTCAACTCGAGCTCCTTCTTCAGGTTACCGAGCTCACGTTGCAGATCGTTGTTCTGATGTTGGAGCTCGCCGATGTAGCCACCGCCGTCGCGCAGCATGTGCGGATTCGGGCTCTGACGCGCTGACCTGGAGCCGTATAACTCGTCCTCCAGGTAGAGTCCGCGATCGCGGCTACGTTCGCGGCTCGGCTCGCGTATCGGCACGAATTCCCGATCATGGTCGAGAACGCCAGCGGAGGCACGATCGAGGCTGGTGTAACGCGCTACCATGCCCGCCGAGCTGGACATGGCGGGTCTCGAGGCGCTTCTGGATCGGTGATGTCCGCCCCCACCGCCCCCGGTCGACATACTCCTACCCCTCTCCTCGAGCATCACGGGACTGCCGAGGTCCTCGTCGCGGGAGTAGTACGGGCTGCCCAGCTGATGGTGATGGTAGCCTCCGCCGTAGCCTAAGTGCTCCGGCGAATTGTTGCCACTGCGAGTTCCCCGTTTACGACCACCGAGCGGACTTCCACGACCGCTGGCATAACTTCGCGACGGACTGCGATCAACGGTTGGCAGTTCGCCCACGCGACGACCGCTGCGTGGCGAACGTGTGCCACCACCTGGACCGATCACGCCACTGCTCGAGTAAAGATCCCGTGACATTCTACGGGAAACCTCGGCGTGTAGCCGTACCTCGTCCTCCTCCTCGTAGGCGCGATAAATCGTCTCGTCAGCGTTTCGTCGATATTCCGTCGGTGTTCGTCCGGTTCGTCGTTCTCTCTTCTACCCGCGATCTCGCCCGATTCTCTCGCTTTCGCAATCGTTTTGTGTAATAATCCACGCGTCTTTCTCTTTTTCGACCTAGTGATGATTCAGCGATCTGTCCGTGTCCTTGTTTCCCAATTTCCTCGGCAATGCTAGTTTTCCAATTTCCGAAGAGAATGCTGTATAATCCGGACCCTCGAAATTTCCGTAGTCGCTTTGTCACGCCTTGCGACCATTCCCCAGTCTCTCGTCACCCTCGTGCGTCTTCACGCTCATATCAGCCCGATTAGCCACACGGGTGATTCGATCAATGAGCGTTTTCCCGTGCGTTCAATCGCACCGGGACGTCCGTCCGGTCTATCCGAGCTTTCAGTTAGGGTAACAGTCGGATGATGAAGGTGTGATGCTTCGTGCGCCGGAATCTCGACGATCGCCTTTCTTTGGGCGATTCGATCTTCTCTTCGTTCCCGACTTTGTGCTCCAGCATCCGGCTATGGCCGACGACGACGACGACGACGACGTCGACGATATATTTCCAATCTCTTTGCGCCTTCGCGATCTTTTACGCCAAATCGCGGACACGATAACGACGTGTCCTGGGATGCGCGCGGACGTTTCTACTCTACGTGTGATGGCGCGTTCGCGAACGACGTGCATTGACGAGGAGATTGATCGTCTCGGTCCTCGTTCTTTCTACGTATCGTCGATCTCAATGAAAGCTGCCGGTTCGGTTCCTTTTCTGCCGGTCGATCAACCTCATCCTCGCATCGCGACGATGATCCTCCGCCCGATCGATCCTCTCTCCACCTCCCCCCCCCCCCCCCCCCCCCCCGCCACCACCGCCACCCTCGCCTCCTCACCGAATACAACTCTTCTGGCCGGCGTACTACTACTAGTGGATAGTACTACTACGCGCGTGGGTCACTTCGTACTCGGCGGCGGCGTACGGCGAGGTCACGACCCTCGTCGGCCCGAGAATCGATCTTTGACCTTCTTTCGACGGCGTAGCCCATCGAGCGAGGGCGAATAGAGATCGAGGGGGAGAGAGAGAGAAAAAGAGGTAATCGACTCTCTCCTCTTCCACTTTTCTATCTTCCTGAGCCGACAAGACGCGAATGAACGAACGAACGAACGAACAAACGAATTCTCTCGCGTACCCTCTCTCGCGTTCGCTCTTCCGGTCTCTCTCGCTCTCTCTCCCTCGGCCTCCGGTTGCGGCGCTCCGGATCCAAGAACCGCCCTTTCGCGAGCCAGCCAAGTCGACGAACCGAGCCGGCCACGTTCCCTTCCTCGCGAACCTCGTTCCACCCTCGTGTGTCGGCGGCTCCCTCGCTCACACGCGCGTACTCGCGCCTACTCGCGCCTGCGTGCGTACGTATGCGCGCGTACTACACGCGTATGTCTCGCTTCCGTCGCGTGCGCTCGTCGTCGGCGCACTACACACACATACACACACACACACACATACACTCGCAATCTCGGGTGGAGGAGGAAGAGAAGAGAGGAGGAAGTATATGTGTCTCCCTTTCTCTCTCTCTCTCTCTCTACGCGTCGCGCACCGCCGTTCCCGTTTCGCGAAACCAGCGCCTAAGGTTCCTCCTTATCGATCTCATTCTCTCGCCTCTCGTCTCTCTCTCTTTCTCTCCCTTTTCCTCCCTTCTTGCGGTCCCGTCGTCGTCTCGCCGTCTGCGTCTCGTGGATGATGTCCGACGTCGTTCCGCCCGGTTTTCAATGAAACACGACGGCAACGCGAGACCAACGGCGAATCAACCACCGACCAACCGACCAACCGATCCAATCGACCAACCGCACTACACTATCCACCGTCCACTACCGGAGCACAGCCACTTCCGTGCACTGACGCCGCCACCGCCGCCGTCACTACCGCCACCGGCGTTCGCCGCCACCCTCGCGCTTACCCACTCTCTCTGTGTCTTTTCCCCGCTTACTCTTTTCTCTACCACTTTCTCTATCCTCCTCGTTCGCGCAGTCGAACACGGGCCAGCCACCTCGTACGCATACACACACGTATATACATTTGCGATTGCGCGAACCTGTGATTACACCCCTGTTCGCCGGCACGTAGACGTATTCATATGCATGTGTATACCAATGAGCATCATCGTCGGTGGAGGAGCCTCGGTACAGCGCGCGACGGATCCGCGCGCACTGAAAGAGCGTTCTAATACCAGCTATGACCAAGCGAGAAAGACCACCCTTTGCTACCACTACCATCGAGACCACTATCAGTAACCACTACCATCACCACCTTTGCCGGCTCCCCCATCATTGGCGCCACCTTCGTGGAAGCGAGTTACGTCTCTACCCCACGAGTATGCTCCAGTATGCTTTACGTTCAACGTCACTATAATTGTTGTACACGTATACATACAAATGTTAGAGGGCGAAGGTAAAAGCATCGGCAGCGCCACCGATCGACGTCACCAACGTCATCGCGACGGCCACGACGCCGAGGCGTACCACCCGCTCCATTTTCCTATCAATCCCCTCACCACCCCGATCACACCCCTTCATCGTTGATCACTCTCAACTACCCCACCTGCGCGGCAGCGTTCTTCTATATAGTAGGCACCCTTCCTTCAGGGTGGCTTTTCAACGCGCAATACCACGCGCGGATCCATGTGTAGGCGTGAATGCAGGGTGCCATGCATTGTGCGATGCCTCTGGGTGGCAATCTTTCAAAATTTCAGAATTCAAGAATTTTCGAATAAGCGTTGAAACTAATAAGAGAGTAAAATGAAAGCATTTGACACGGGATCAATATTTCAAAGAATTTTGTTCAGTTATTTTTAGAAAATTTCTCAATTACTATTTATTTAATATAAATTGTCAGTAGTAAACTTTTTCAGGTTGATAATTGGAATAAAACACTGTGACACATATATCTAATATATTTGTGAATTCTAAATAATAACTAAGTTAATTTAATTTCTGTCCAAGTTAGATATTTTTAGGGGACTATATTTTAAAAAGCATATATACACACACACACAACATCTCAAATATTATTTATTATAATATACTTTCAAAGTAATAACAGAATATTGATCACAGCACTTCGATATATAAAGAGCAATTAAGTTAGTATCATAAAATCAATATTCGTTAAAAAAATTTATTAAAATATACTTAGCAAAATTATAAAAAATAGTGAAATTGAATTGAATATTTATAATAAAAAAAATTTAGAATTATATACATATATATATAAATATTTATTAGCTATAAAAACACTCAAATTTCAAAATTTTATAACAAATTATTATCAAAAGAAGTGACATCAAGTACCAATAAAATATTACTTTAAATTTTTTCCTTTTTTTTAAAAACTATTATTTTTAACTTAAGAAACGTTATATAAGACTTTTAATGGCGCAAGTAATAAAACTTCGTTTTTTGTTCACTTTACATTTTAGATATTTTCCAATACAAATTCTAACGAATATATATGAATATATATCTCACGTTATTATTATCGTTGCAATTTTATTTTATTTTATTCAAATTTTATTTATTGTCTTTATTTAATTTTTTTTAATTTGTTAATTATTTAAATTGATAAATTTCTAGAAATTAATATATTTATTAATAGTACTTATTATAACAATTTTTTATAAAAATAACTTTATATAAAGAAAATTACCAGAGCACGAGTCTTAGGACACCCTGTATTCCAACCCTGAATGCACGTTCCGTTTGAATTTTCTTCTCCCTTCTCCCCCTGACGACTGTCGACCTAGCGTACGCGCGTCGCAATCAATGAAGCTACGATTCACCGAGCAGTAGCGTATAGTCATGGAATTGGATTAAGGCGGTCTCTCTGATGTAATATGATGTGATAAAAGCGATACCAAGTGTACAACATTGGCGCAAATACATTACTGCTTGGTAAAAAGATTTACGAAGTATTGAATGGTCGATTATAATGTGCACTTCTGATTACGTATTAATGCGTAGCCAATTTAAAGACATAGTCCTTTATTGGGCCAAATACAAACGTATAAGTTATATAACATATAAGTTATATTAACATATAAGTTATGTAACATATTTAAAAATGTGCAACATTACATAATTTCTGAAAATTTTGTGAATTAAGATGTTTTTTTAGATTTTAAAATATTTATAAAAATTTTAAAACATTGTGATCTTTTAAATAGTCTGTTTAATTTAATTAATATAATTTGTATATAATTTATAGTTAAATTACTTTATTATACGGTTCTGGTTTGTATGCAAAATCAAAAAAAGTTAAGAATTAATATGCTAAGTACTACTATCAACTTCTAAATGATTAATTATATTTGTTGCAAAAATCCTGGAGTGCATATGTATGTATAATATATCTTGGAATATAGTAAATTGTATGCATGTGTATATAAATAACACACATACAATACAAGTTCGTGATGCTAATTACATGACTATATAATTTCCAAAGAGTTCTATACAATCCCGGATACTGGATGAACGCAATTTTATATTGCATTTTACCTTGAACATAATTGCATCCATTATATATAATTATAGTGATTTCAAATCATATTAGTAAAAGAAAATCCATTGATAAAGCATATAAGATATAAAGCACATAATAGATATAAGAGGTATTAATAGATATAAGAAATATCAAGTTAAGAATTAGTCGCAATTTTTTATCTTCTACTACATTGCTCTCACTTAATTTCATTTTATTCTCAGATTCGATTGGACTGACTCATTGAATTGACCTACATTTCCTAAATACGCAGGATTACGTGAAAAACGATTAATCAAGCAGGAAAGGGCGTGTTTTTGTAACGTTTGCTCGAGAACATATCAGGACTTGATATTCGAAACAAGTTAAAACAATGTTAACCCGACATGAGTATGGTGTTAAATAGAAAAATAGCAATTAGAAAATCACCAGAAATATTATCGAAATATCGATTATTATGCCATAACAATAATTCATAATGTCGATATATATACTAAAGCAATTGAGAGACCATTGATCTTTGCACTCAACTGTTTATAACTTTCTGGTAATGTTTCAATAGTGATAAAATTGCGATAAAGCGATCTCATACATACAAGATACGGCATCATATGTAAATAATGTATTGCCGATAAACTGAGGAATTTTCTTACGTATTTAACGCTTATCAAAAGGAACAGATATTAACACATTTAAAATTACGATATCTAATAGATAATATAATCTATACTTTTGCTGCCGTTTTCATTTTTTTTTAACCTGTATAAGTTAAAATACATTAATAAATAAATTAAAAATATAAACTTGAGATAAAGTCAAGAGTTTTCTTTAAGTAAAAAACACTTCTTATTGTATCTTTGATAAAAGTATTATGCAACACCTGCCAACAAAAATAAAGATAATCAATTAACCTTAAAATAATAACAAAAAGATTAAACAAATATAAATAGAAAACTCGAGAGCAAAGACTTTTAAATATTTCTTTTAAGCGAAATATATATATTAATATCATTTGCCTACTAATAAGAATGTTTTTATCGACATTAAAGTAATGATTGTAAACTCTTCTTAATTAAAACCTATGTTAAAGTTTACATGAAAAAATTTTGTCAAGTCTATTTAAGATTTTTATGAAACTTTATATAATTTGTGCATTTGACGTAGATAGATTAAAATCAGATAGATGACAATCAGAAATAAGATATCAATTTCACGATTAATTAATTATCATAGCCCTTATTCTATCCATACAATCTATTTTTTTACTCTTATCTTCCGAAAATATTTATTTATTTATCTATTATCGATACATGTCAATGCAAAAATGATAAAAAAAAATATAGAAAGAATACATGGAGTGTATTCTTATGCAATCGATTGCAATGCAAAATAAAAAAAATTAATTACACTAACATGAAAAATAAAAGTATCGCAAAACAAGTATATATTTATACAATACGTTAATTAAAAAAAAAATAGATTATAATATTCTTTTAATTTCTCTCATTTCTTCTCTTTCTTTCAAAAATTAGCAAATTAAAATTAACTATCTCAAACGATTTCTTCGATACCTATTTATTATATACTGTGTGCGATAAGACTTTTTGGACGTGCGGTTAAGATTTAAGGATAAACGGAGTAGGCAGAAGGACTAGTTATTCTTACTTGACCGTGAGGCTCTCCCGGGGACCAAAGTGATAAAACTTAAGTGGCGCAGGCTAAGGTCGTTACCACTATCATATGTACGTGCGTTCTCCGGCATCCTGCGATCGTCAGTAGACGATGATCACTCGTTGGCGTCACATCGTTTCTCGATCGTGCACCTGAACTGTTCTCTCTAACTAAAGGCAGACATGTGGAGCCGCGTTTGGATCGTGTTAATGCTGCTAGCTGCCGTGGCCTGGCGAGTCTCTTTATTACATTCGGACGCAGGTCCATGGGTCCTAGCCACGAAGGGCGAACTCTGGCCACTGCCAAAAATGCGTGTTATCAAAGAAGACTTCTATTTATTGCGACCGTCTAACTTTGAATTTCATGTGAGTCTTTCTATTTATTATTTCTTTCTATCACATTAGGCCAAGCTCATTTTAACTCTGTAAAAACATTAATATATTGAGTTTTTTTTAATATAAATATTCGTTAAATTATTGAAATAAATTTATAAGTTTCTATTATACGATTTTGTTATTTTTAATATTATTATGACTTCTTAATAATAAAGTTTGGGATTTGATCGTGATAGGGATATCCCTCTAAATTTCTTGAAGTGAAACTTTATTTCAACTGAATGAAAATACAGCCACTTTTGAAAAAGAGTGAAAATATTTCACTTCTTGAAAAAGAGTGACAATGTTCACTCTTTTGGAGTGAAATTTTGCTCTAAAATTCTATCTGCCTAATTCTATGTCTCTGCGACTCTCTGTTTTTATCAATACTTCGGATCGGTTGTTTGAAAACTCTCACAAAAAATTAAAAATCCCCCATTATAGATATTTTTTAAAACAATTAAAATTTCTAAATATTATCGAAAAGAAATATTTTTCTCGATCATATTAGAAGAAATAGGCTTCGGTAAAAGTGAAGATCTCTGCCCCAACCGACCCATTCGTTTCGTACATGTTCTGTGTATTGCTCTTTTTGCCCTTTATTTTTATTATGTTCTGTTTGTTTTCTTGTGTCTAAAATAAAAATACATGTATGTGTCTCAAAGCAAAGAATGATTTCACGAATATAATTTATACGGATGACAATACAATTGTCATAAAAATATTAAGAGACTCGCATACACACGCGAAATTACTTTAATTAAACTGTTATTTTGTCAAATGCAAAAGAGAAGCGTAATAAAATAACGGTTACAATGTTTATTAATTATACTTTATATATTTTATATTATATTTTTATATGTATATGTAACACAATTAACAGACATAATATTTATTATATCTATTACATCATACAACTCATGTGACACAATAAGTCACGATAACGTCAAAATGAAGTCAAAACGACATCATTTTGACGTCATTTTGACGTCATTTTGACGTTATCGTCACTTAGTTGTGTTACTTGGGAAATATTACTTATTTTTTAACTAAAGCTTTGCTTTCTAACTTTTGTATTCCAACATATAGCGATTTTGAATTCAAGAATTTGTTAAAAATTATTTTTCTTACACTGCATGTAACATTATATTTTAATTTTTAAGCTTAATCTCCTTTTTATTTATTTTATCTTTTCGATATTATATCAGATAGCCAAGAAAGCTGTAGAAAGCAGATTTTTTTAATGTCTGCTACACACTGTGCCAATAAAATAATAACAGAATTATTACAAAATTAGATGTACATAATACTGTTAACAGACTGCTAGAAAAAACGTAACAAAATCTGCAAGCGTCAGATAATGTCGGCAGGATCTGCTCAGTTTCTGCCAACAATTTGCCTTCACATTATGTCGACAGGCGATGTTAACAGAACACAAGCCTAATGCGGACGCAGTTGATGGCAGACTGCCGTCATTTTCTGCTCGAATCTGCTGACAATCTGCTAGAAGAGTACAGACATTTTTCTATCTGGGATGCATCTGTTTCAATAAATATTACTATTGTTTCTCTAGAAGTAAATTAAAATTATCTTAATTTCATTATTAAAAATTTTAATGAGGAAATTATTAATAAAAAATGAAATATCTTAGTTTCTGTATGCTTCTATGTTTTACATTTTTTTAAGTTCCATAAAATGTTATTCTAATTTTATTTTAAATTACTTAATAGTTTAATATTTTTGTATTTACATAGGTGAACGGCGAGGTGTGTGATATCGTGACTGAGGCGATAGAACGGTATAACAGAATTATTTTGACGGAAGCTAGAATAGCAAGGTTGGTCACGGAAGGGCAGCCAAGAACATCCGTTCGAGACGATCCTCATTTTAAAGGCAATCTTGAAACCTTAAGCATCCGTCTCTTGAAGCCTTGTGAACAAAACGGCGAGCATTGGCCATATTTGTACATGAATGAATCTTGTAAGTTTAAGAGTGTAAAATTAAATTTATTTTTTTTAATTTATTAATTCGCACAGTGGTTGTACATATATATTTATCAAGTAATAGAAAATATTAAAAATTACTCTATTTATATATGTACTTCTATTTTAAATAGATTTAAAAATAAATGTATGAATATTTAACTAATTGGCTGATGGCGGAAAACGCAACTTTTGTTATACGTCAGTCATAACTCTAATACATGTTTCATGTGCAGCAACTCTCTTTGCATGTGCAGCTTGCATTACAAAGTAATAGGTAGTGCACCAACAAATTAATTGAATGATGCCCGTGAGCAACAGCTCACTCGTAACCTCCGACCTAACATTCGCCGATTTGCGTTGATAACGGGCTTGCGTGCGCACAAATTGGATTTTTGCAATCCTTAATAACATCTCTCCTTATCGATGATATTAATTAAATTTAACATCGATTTGATAATTTCCGAAAGATTTTATTAAATCCTACATTAACACATCAAACTATAAATGACAAAAATATACAATAAAGATCATAAAGTTGTGAAACACAAGTTTAATCCATATTTAACGAAGATAGAAGTGATAGATTAATCTTTCCCAGTTGATTATTCCTTATCATACGTTTTATATTTGTATATATTAAAAAAAAAATAATTTTTTAAGTAAACCTTTTGCATTTAAAGTTGCGGTAAAAAACAGTTCCATACGCAAAGAGAAATAATCTATTACAAATATACTTAATTTGAAAATATAATCACACTTAATATATAAAAAATATATGACCTTTATATTTATGTAAAATTTATAATATTTAACAAGCAACAAAATAAAATTTTGTAATTTATTCCTTGTGGTACGGCTATATTTGGAGTCTGAAACAACGATCGATCGATCAATTTATCACTGATCGCGAAAGGAATTACAATTAATTTAGTCCGATTAAACCAAGAAGATTCCACGACGCGGAATGACGAATGCAGACTGAACACGCGCGAGACTTTCGAGCGAGTTGAGCAATGCACAATCAGCAAAACGATTGAAACGAAGACGGACAATAAGACAACTCTGATCTGCTTCCTAGTTTCTTATCGCTTAAAGCTAAATGCCATAAGGCCGTAACCACCGATTAGCGAGCTAAATTCTATGATTTTATCCGTGCCTATCTTCCTCGATCGAAACGATTTAACACGACGTTTGACATCGCGGTATACGCCTTTTGCAGATAAACTCGAGATAAATAAGACTTCATCAGTCGCCGTTCTATGGGCTGAATCCGAGTGGGGAATCCTTCGAGGTCTCGAGACTTTTTCGCAGCTATTAGCACCGTCTGGTGATGGTCCGAGCGTAAGTATATTTAAATATTTATATCTTTTTATCTTAATTAATGAATTTTTTATGCAAAATGTAAACACAAATGTAAATACAAGTAAAACACAAAATTGATAAAAACACGGAAATAACATTTTTTATGCATTATTAACATTTTCTTGTAAAAAATCAATAATTCTGCTGACTTCGACTATGGAACTTATTGTCAACAGGAAAATAATTTTTAAAGTGCAGCGTATAATATTTTCCTTACATCGCAATTCTTCTCTACGTACATATTATAATCTTTCATCTAAACGATTGTGCGAACATGAACTTAATAACTGTATTACAGTTAAAAATAAAATGCCAAACTATCTTGGACGAGCCGAAACTGCCACATCGCGGCCTCCTGCTCGATACCTCCCGTCATTATCTACCCCTATCTGACATACTGTTGACACTAGACGCTATGTCGTACAACAAGCTAAATGTCCTTCATTGGCACATCGTCGACGATAACAGTTTCCCATATCAGAGTACCAGGTATCCCGACCTGTCCGCTAAAGGCGCCTACCATCACTTGATGATCTACACACCTAATGACGTGCAGAAAGTCGTGAATTATGCGAGACTACGGGGGATCAGAGTGATGTCTGAATTTGACACACCTGGACACACTAGATCATGGGGTATAGCCTATCCGGAATTATTGACAACGTGTTACGGTAAATGAGTTCGATATAATTTATTAACCAACAATTTATCACGGAAAGAATAATTTTGCTGAAAATCTAAAAATTTAGCTTGACGCAAATCTGAAAATTATTTTGTTGGATTAAATAATTATATAGGAAAATCAAGCATGATAAGCCACGCTGTAAAAAATTTTGATATTCTAGCAATCAACTTAATTTGTGAGACTCTTACATATTATTTTGACAATTAACAAAATTATTATCAAATCTATTAAATAACCTAGTTAAATTTTTAGATTTTAGCAAAATCATTCTTTTATAATGATCTAGTAGAAGTCTAAACATTTTCAGAGATAAATAATGTTCTTAAATAAATATATTTTTATCTCTGCACTTTATTAATATTTCTTCAGCAATGCAAATTTGCTCATTTATGTATTTGTTAGACTCCACCGGAAAAGCAAATGGTAAACTAGGCCCTATGGACCCAATAAACCCGAAGGTGTACGACTTCGTACAGAATTTGTTCTCCGAGATCGTGCAAGTATTCCCGGATCAATATCTCCACCTAGGTGGTGACGAAGTACCCTTCGATTGCTGGGCCAGTAATCCGAGAATTACCGAGTACATGAAAGAGCGCAATATATCTAAGAAGTACGAACTGCTCGAAAACCAATATATAGCCAAGATACTCGCGATCAGCAGTTCGCTAAACATCAACACTATTGTGTGGCAAGAGGTTAGTTGCTATTTTTCTGTAAAAAAATTTAATTTGTAAAGGGCACATCCCTTTCAAACACCCGTAAAGAACACCTGATGCGAATAGTGCGAATTTGCATCAGACATTTTTAATGTTTTATATCTCTTCTGAAAGTTACAAGCGAAATTAAAGTAAAAATTACGTTTTTCAATGTAAAATTTTTTAATCAATTGATTGGTATATTGAATTTTCAAAAAACAATACAATCGTTCATTCAAAACTGCGTGTTAAGCAAAACTAGTTTTTTTTTTCAAATATCTATAAGTTGGAAATTTTAAATAACACCGGGTGCGAATATGCACCCGGTGTTATTTACGAGTTAATTATTAAAAAATTAATATGGATATCTCTGTACACGATGAGATTATTACGATGTAATTATTGCGTGAGATGCAAGCATTATCGTGTACAAGACATTTTATTGTATGCAAATTGCACGGTTTATAGGTTTTCGATAATGGCGTTGTGCTACCCGCGAGCACTGTAGTGCACGTTTGGAAAGTACAATTATGGCAAAAAGAGCTAGAGAGAGCGACTATGGCAGGACATCCGGTCTTGCTATCATCCTGCTGGTATCTGGATCATATTGCCGGCGGTGGCGATTGGCAAAAATATTACAATTGCGATCCTTTCGATTTTGATAATGCGGCCAACGTTACACACCTTATGCTCGGCGGTGAGGCCTGCATGTGGTCAGAATTCGTCAACAAGTACGTCTAGTCTTTCCTTTTTTTAATTCATATTTGAAAATCTATGAATTAACATATTAATACAAGAAGTATATTAATTAGGGATGCACCAGATATCCGGGAAATATCCGGTATCCATCATTATTCGGCACTTTTTTACTATCCGGCCAAATAGCTGAATATCATTAGTATCCGATAATATATCCGGTTGAAATTTTACATTGATTGTTTGCATTATTAGTGCAGAATTTTTTCTTTCCAACTGAATTTCTTGTACAGTTCATCTTTCTTCTTTTTTTTTTTACATTGGGAAGATAAAGAAAATTATTATCGCTATCATTTTTTTCCTTGCTGCTCTTTTTTGGAAGCTATTTTCCAAATATCCGAGGAAATATTCGATTGGATAATTGCCCAATCATACCGGATATTAAATATCCGAAAAGAATGGGACATCGGATATCCGATAATTTTATGATCCCTAATATTAACTGAATTTCTATTAATTGAATAATATAACAAATATTGGAAGCGTATAGTTTCGATAAAAAGCATTAATTATTAAATTGGCAAAAATAAGCACATGAATATCAGAAGTTACAGTAAAATTCTATCATCTTAAAGTTACTTTTTATAAGAAAGAAAAAAAAAGAGTTTCAAGTGTTCGCACTCATCAAAATAGTTATGAAATAATTATGTGCCAAAGACAATGTTTTATACATTGTCTTTGAGTCAAAAAGTTTAATTCTTTCGTTATTACTCGGGAAAAAATGTTTCATATATAATTATATATAATCGATAAGACAAAAATTTGTAAATAAGGCAATAGGAGTCAACTTCTAGTTGTTAAAATTTCGAGAAATTATTACATTAAAAATATCATATAACTTCGTACGTTTCGAATTCTATTTGAGTCATCTTCAGCAATTCAACATGATAAATGTATGAAGGACTAAAACACTATGCTAACAATTATTTATTTTACCTAATAAAAAAATAATTACGAAACGTAAAGCATTCTTGTTAAGTTACTATTTATTTTCAGAAATAACATACATTCGAGGATCTGGCCACGTGCTAGCGCAGCAGCTGAACGTCTTTGGAGCTTTAACAAGCAAGATAACAACATCGCCGCTCAACGATTGGAAGAACATGCTTGTCGTATGAACAGACGCGGTATTCCCGCTCAACCGCCGAATGGAGCAGGGTTCTGTGTGACATAGCCGGTTCTCCGCCAGTTGATACCAATGTTCCGTTTAATCTATGCAATATTTACACTCGCATAGCGAATCCTCGAGAAATACGAGTCTCCGTTTCACGCACTCATTCATCGTTATCGTATAAACACGCGTATGTCACAATAAATATAGTCTGAATAATATAACAGTCTGTACTTTTTATATCCTGTCTATTTCCGCGTCGGGGGGGGGGGGGGGGGGAGGGGGAGAGAGAAAGAGAGAGGAGGGGGAAGAGTTTCCAACACGTATTATTAACAACAATGCTTGAAAAAAAAAGGAAGCTATAAATAAATAAGCTAAACATTATATTTTTTAAATGATTAGAAATGTATACCTACTGTAATGTATAAGTTATATACATATATAATAAAATTTTTTAAATAAGTTTTCTGTAATATTATTTCGCATATTGTTATATATATATATGTACCTATTTATAAAATTTTCTTGATCATATTTAATCTGGGAATGTAATGGGATATGAAATACTTAAATCTCATCTGCATATACATATATGTCGCGATTACATTATGCCTATCACTATTCTTCCCTACAATGTTGAAATCATGATATATTCTTGAATGTAGATATGGCGACAAAGATACAGCACTGCTTTTGTTACTAGCTTTTCAGTTGAGCTCGTGAACCATTGCTGAAATGTACCGACTGATGTGCATCGAGAGTATTGTCAAATGTGGGCATGTGCGGTGGCAGCTGCATTCCCTGTAGAGGGAATTCCTTTGTCGGAACTCAAACAGTTGTGACGAAATTGATTTCCGTTGACGGTTAAAGTCAATTTAGATTGAATACTTTTTATCAACAATATGCAAATTGCAAATGCTGCTCATCAAGTAATTGAACTTGATCCAGTTCCAAATATTATCGTATTTGTACCAACAGTAGCAAACTAATATAATGAGATATACTGGTATAATTTATGTAAATTAGATAATTAAATAGTTTATTTAAAAAAAATTTAAATTAACTTATTTTTGGGAAAGCTCGCTAAATTATTTGTTGTAAATTTTTTATATTTAATACAAAATATATTTTAATAATTATATAAATCCAATCAAATTAACATAAACTATAAAATTTTGTTATCTATACTTGTCATTTTAAAGCAAGTATAAATTGTTAATTTTTATAAATCTTGATCAGTTAAAATGTTTTAACACAAAAATTTTCTAGATCTCTAGCTGTCAGCTATGATAAATTATAAATTATATAATGCTTATGTTTTTCCCATTTTTCGTTTCCGTTTCTAAATATACGAAGCGTGGCTGACGTAATTTGCTTGTTTCTTGCAAAACAAACAAACTACGTCAGCCACGCTTCGTATATTTAGAAACGGAAACGAGAAATGGGAATCACCGTGTGTGATTCCCGCATGTAATTTATTCCGTAATCTGTAAAAGCCGACAATCAATTTTTTACGGGTCACCAAGGTTACCAGTAAATAATCTTCGGTTGATCATAGTCTACAAACATGAAAGGCTAATTTTAAATTCTAAAGTATTTCTTGTCAGAGACAAGCAATTCACTAAATTCCAAGTAACTTTACTAAAATTGTCTCTCGTTTGATAGAAGGTTTCTAACTGTTATCGACGACTTAACGTCAATTATTAAATTTCTAAACTAAAAATACAAACGTTATCTAGAACACATCTTTAACGTCATGTCGAGGTAAATTTCAGTGGGATTTTATTATCCTAATAGAATTTCAGTCAAAAATAGACTACTTATTAACACAATTTCACCTATGTGATTATTGTCAAAATTATTAAATTTTCGGTTTTACATAATTCCATATGTAGTCAAATAATGGAAAATAATAGCGAGTAAGCATCATAGAAATAATTAACTAGAGAATTTACTTTACAAACATTAAAATAAAGAATATTTCAAACTAATCTTCTATTTAAATCATAAATACGCAATATATTATATTACATGAGAATGTACTAAATAATGAAATATTTTTTCTTGATTTGCTTATTAATTTGTAATAATTATTTTTAATAATTTAATAATTTATGCGACAAAAACGTTTCAGGAGTTACCAGAATTTATGTCTTCCTCTTCCTTCTAATTGTCTACCAACGAGATGTCCAATTCCATGTTCTGTAATTTGTTGTACTCCACCTGTGTGCTATCCCAGTATGCCTCGTGTATCCCGTGTTCAATATAAAATAGCTTGTCCTCCCCTGCCGAAACCTATTAAGACAGTGGTATGTTTGCTGCATGAAATATTAACTTTTGTTCTCTAAGAATTTTCTCTGATTAATATATTATATGCATATTGCAACAATAAAAAAAAAGCTTTGAACACATGGTTTACTATTAAATTATATGCATATACAAGGTGAAGACTATTTTTTTAATTAAGGAATTAAAAAAAGGCTTAAATAATTAAAAATAGAAAATAATTAATAAATGGGGCTACAAGTCAAGCTAGATGTTTGCTGCTAACACTATCTTACATTTAATATTTAAAAAAATACACAAACATTTCATTAACTATTTAGATATTAAATATTCTTAATACGATGGATTAAGGAAAGAATCATAGCAATTATTAAAAAAACACAGAATAATTAATTGGAAAAAAATCGATACAAGCGACTGCATAACATCTATGTAATCATAATGCGTAAGAATTGAATTGTAATAAGCGGATGGAAATAATTTTATAACGACAATTTTTGTTTTACATTGAGAATGACTCGATAACGGGTCGAAACTGTTTATTTATTTTTTTAAATATTAAATGTAAGATAGAGTTAGCAATGAACACCTAGTTTGGCTCGTAGCCCCTTTTATTAATTATTTTTTTATTTTTAAAAGATATCATGGCTAATTATTATCATACATTATTTTGAAACAATTTTTTCATTATTTTAATTTTAAATAATTTTTTTCACTCTCTTATGCGCTGATATATGATATATATATACATATAATGTTTTATAGTTTTTAATGATAAAAATTAAGAAAAAAATTTTGTAAAAGGTATATCTACCACCCTGCCCAACCTGTCCTACGTCTTGTTCACCGAAAATGGAAATGACTTATTTGCCACCTACACCACCCTGTCCGCCACCCAGTTTTTACGCTTGCGATACGAATTACGTTCCTTACACACCTTGTCCTCCACCGATCTCGTGTAACTTGCCCTGTAAACTCCCATTATGCCGTCAGTTTATTTTCATACTTCCTTTTATTAGAATTTGTCGCTGAGATTAATATGAGTTCCTTGTTTTGCAGTACCTTGTCCCCCCTGTTAAGTGACGGCGTTCTAATTGGCGACTTACTGGGCAGTAATTATGCAACTGCATATAGAGTACATATGCATCACAAGTGTATGTATAAGAGGTAAAAAACGAGCTTTCTAAACGACTTAAGTTATAAAATTTAAAATTATAAAATTTTGATGCTCGATATATACATATATATATATATACATAAATTTATAAATAAAAATAAATATGTAAAATTAAAATTTTACAAGAAAAAATTTTATAAGAAATAAAAATTTTAAGACAAACATTATTTAAACAATTTCAGAAATTATTCCAGTACATTGATTTTTCTCTATACAATTATTTTGATTTATCTTATAAAGATTGATTTTCTTCTATTTGTAGAGGTGAAGAACGTGGAATAATTAAGAAAAAATCGATATGGAATAAGATTAAAACCAGGAGAACTTTATCAACCAATCAAAATTAACTACGGGATAAAGAAATATGAAACTAAATATACTCACAAAATAACAAACGATATAACGGAAGAAACATGATTTTAACTGAATTTTCTTGCAACCCTAATCTTATAATTCACTGTCTTTTGCTTTATGCTGATAAATTCAAATTAATTATGTGTTTTTGTAGTATGTTGTGAAATATTAAGTACTTTGTGCTCTACAATTGTAAAGAATAAAAATATACTTGTTATTAAAATATAAAACAGCAATAACATATTGTATCTTATCTGTGTTTTTGTCATAATTCATACAGAATGAATCTATGAGATTTTAAAAAATAATAATATCTCTGTATTATTTAATTTATGCCTTTCTTATAATTAATGTGCGCTGTTTCTATATCAATTTTAAAAATAAAATTAAATGTATATAATACAATTAATTTTGTTTAAAGAGAAATCTGAGAGTGGACATATTCGTTTTAAATGGACCATGTTTACTGATGCCCTTATGTACACAAAGCGAATTCACGAATATCTCCGGTAATACATTTACGGACTTCGATATCATTTTACGTTACATTATTTGGTTTTATTTAGTATTATATCAAAGAAATGTAATTGCACTTATTATGCATTTATTATTTTTGTAATATATCGTAAAAATAATAAATAAAAGTTGAAATAATTTAAAAAAAAACAAAAATATCAAGTATATCTTAAAATGTTTATAATATTCCTATGAAAAGCAAATAAAACGCGATGGAAAGGATCAAATATAATGCCATTGCTCAGAAAATTTATTACAAAGAAATGTATATACAAACTATTATAATATAACGCATTACATTTTAACCAAATATAATTACAATAAAATCCTTGATTAAATTAAAAAAATTTTATACAAATTATATATATTTTTACTTTAAATATCCAGACAAATTTTAATTTAGTACAAATACATCAACATGTAGAGCTTTTTTCTTTACATGTATGACTTTTTTCATTTTCTTTAAATTAATTTTTTGTTAGACAAATTATGGTATATAAATATATCACATGCATACATATATACACATATGTATGTGTATATATACATATACATATATATCGATATATCAATTATTTTTTGTTATATAGAGACAAATAGAATTCATCAAAATAATTTAAAAAAAATAACCGTATGTGTATCCATAGCAACTATTCACGCACTTGTCCCTCTTTTTTCAACACGTCAAAACTCGCGACTTCCTTTCGGCGGTAATGCAAAATCCGCTTTAAAAAATCTTTCATTAAGTTTAAACGATGATCTTTTGACAATAAATGTAATGATATCCAAATTAGCGTCTAAGCAAAATTAATGATGAAAAAGAGGTAAGTGTCATGAGAAACACATATGTCAATAAATATAAAAGTCTTTCACTCTGGAAAGTTTGCTTTAGGAAAGTTTCAATTGAGAAGAATTCTGGACACAAAGAATCATTTGCACGTTCGAGCGTGGTGAGCTTACGATCTGCCACCACGAGTCATCAAAGACGATCGCGATCTGTGAAATCACCATCCGTACAGAATTTGCACAATTCAAATTCGTCGGATAAGGTCACCAAATTTACAGACGATCGAATGGTATTACCGGACGAGATGCAACCTTCGAAAACTAGATTCAGTTCTCGCAACAGATCGAAAGAGACACGTTCAACTTCTTCGTCAAGGCTCAAGAGTTTCCCTGCCGAAGAGATAAAAAAACTAAATAATTCGCCAATGTTTACACCTGAGCCAATTGCCGCTTTAATCATGCAGCAAGATCCTCGAGCAAATGGAACCTTTTACACAAATCCCTTCAGCAAAAATAATAATGGTCATGGTGATGCGATTTCTATTCAATTGTCGCCACATCAACAATCAAAAGTAAATTCTATAAAAATTCTTTAAACTTTTAGTTTTATTATTTAATACTATATTAATATACATTAAGAGAGAGAGAGAGAGAGAGAGAGAGAGAGAGAGAGACTTATAAAATTAATTTGAATAAAATGAATGAATTATGTCGTGCAAAATAATAAAATTGTAAATATTAAAACGACTGAAAATATACAATAAAAAGAAGTATTGTACGTAAAATAGATACATATCTTAAAAATATTATGTAAATTTATATTTTTAAAAATTTGTTTATTATTTAAAAAAAAAATTATTACATTTAATATTTTTGCTGGCATTAATTTTGTTTATAACGTTGACTTTTTATCAACAAACTATTATACTTATGCTACTGTAAATTCTATTATACTATTATATTTACTATAAAATTTTGTTTACAAAAATTTGGTTTTTATATATACAGAAATACGCTATATATAAAATTATAAACTTAATTAAATAATTTTACAAATAAAATTAATATATTTTTAGTTGCAAAATACATGTAGTACAAGTCAGCAACAGGTTGTCGCTAACCATCGGGAGATTTGTCAAACAAATCCACAGTCTGAAAGCTTACTGACTCGACGAATCACATCTCCCGAAAGACAGGCGCATCGTCCTTTCGTGCCAAATATCCCCCAAGGAGCAATAGTCTACGATCGATCACTTCAAAGCTCGTCTGCGATAATTAATCAGCCGGTAATTACACAAATCCCTTCGACATCAGTTGCGATGCCACAAATGCAAGGATCTTCGGCTGATTCGCATATAGTTGTCGACCAAAATCTCAATGAACCTTCAGCGCCTGACAGTCAGTGGCAGAAACAATTGGTCAATGACCGAAATGCAGTCAATAACAGACAAATATTCATGCAGCAACAAAAGCAAGCATCAATCGAGCAAAATACTAGTGTGCCACTAAACGATCAGACAGCGGGTAACTGTCAAAATATTTATCATTCTCAGTTTCATGCTCCATTTCAACGGAATCTACACCAGATCAATCAGCAAACACAGCAGAGCTATCATCAACAAATGTTGCCGCAAGGACTCAACCAAATGCAATCAATATCCAACCAGCAACCACATATACACAATAATTCAGTAACGCACTGCGGTTATTACAATCAACAATTGCCTATCGCGCCAGTCTCTGGACAAGGAATGACATCTCCGCAAGACATGATAACGAATCGAATGAGAAGATCGATGCAACATAATTTATCCATCCATCAACAGAATCTTGGATATCCTGTTAGCTTTCAACCTACCTGGCAAAACCATAAATGGATACAAATAGCGAATCAAAATCAGCAACATTTGCAGCCACCATCACAATGGCAGTATTATTATCAAACGCGCGATACCAACTTCAATAAAAAAACTTCTGGGAGTCAAGATCAATCTAATCTATCACAGAATCAAGCAAATCATAAACCTGATCAATCATCCACGGAAACTTTACGAGAAGAAAAGAAGACACTGCAATTTACGTCTGACATGATTCGCGATCAGGAATTGTTAGTTTCTACCATGAGGCAGCAAGGTATACCTGAGGAAGTAATGCGCCGTCAATTTGCAGCGTTACTGAATGAGCAAAAAAGACATCTAGCTTACATCGCGCAGTTTCAACGAGAAGCAGATATTCCGGAGGAAATCAAGAGGACTCGACTTGTGCGAAGAAAAATAGAAAAGGACGAGAAACCAGAATGGATGATGCACATCACGCCACCGCGTATATCATACAGCGATATTGAAAGAATGAAAGTACAACAAAAAGCTTTGAACGAACAATATCTGATGGACGATAAATCGCCGGAAAATATGAATAAAATAGTGGCTGATCAACAAAAAAATTATCATCAACCAAAAAAAGAGGAAATATGCAGTCAAGAGTTGCCTCAGCAAATGTATGGTCAGGTCAATCCTTATCAGCTATGGCAAACAACTAATTGGCCACATAGAAGTGATCATCAAATATCATACGGTCATACCGCTTGTTACCCATACGATCATCAGCAAAATACATCGAACAATGTATGCCGCCCATTAAATCCGCCTTTTAAATATGCACAATATCCATACAATGTGCGATATAATCCATATTTTCCGCATTCTGAGCCACAAGAAGTTTGGTCCAAGGAACATAATTTAAATTCATTAAATCCGGTTGATAATCAAAAAACTTCAATGGAACCCGCGTACTATTATCAGCAAAGCATGAGGCCTGCCGAAACTTCCAGTTTACTCAAAATGCGAGTATACAAGGAAATAATCTGTCCTCAGAAACGCAATAATGGCTTGCAAGATCCAGATAGCATTCAAAAGATGCTGGAAACGCTGAAGGATTCTAGAAGTAGGAAGGGTCTCGAGTACCTTGCCAATTTGGCCAAGAAGAAACCTATCGTCAAACTGAACGGTATTCAGGGTTCCAACGAGATTCCGGAAGATATGCAACAGCGACGGTCGACAGAAACCCGCTTGCAATCTCAGAAAAGAATATTGACAAACGGTTTGGAAAATAACAGGAATCCAAACAATCCACCATCACGTATCCTGCGACCTAAAAGGGCTGATGAACCTTTAATGATGGAGTACCCACGGCAAAAGCAAAACACTAGAAATTGTTACAGTATGCAGGCAGAAAAGGAAAACGGCACGATGGAGATTTTGCAAAACCAAGGTGCACTTTCCCACGCACAGAATGGATCAATCTCTTATGATCGACAGAACAAACCTATGACGCAAGAATGCCACGGCAACAATGACATAATCCTCCAATACAGAGGAAATGCCCCACCTCGACATTATCATCAAATGCAGCAATACTATTACAATGGACAAAACCTGCAGGGTCACAATGGCGGTCAGGGCGACGTCGCATGTATGCAACGGCCGAATGTACCCGACGCGATGAGAATCGATCGCGCTGGCGGTGATACCGGTGAGAAACCGAATGCTGAAGATGCGAAAAGAATGGGCAGTGTGCAGGCGATGCAGGGAACGAATGCTTACGGTCAACCGGAAATCCGCGAGACAAAGACCATCGGAGGTATCACGTATCTTGCCAGGAAACCCGAATGTGCCCTCAACGATCACGTTGTTTCACCAGATAAATTAATCGCGAACGGACACGTGTAATCCCCAAAAATATTTTAGAAATTATTTAAATTTCCATTCCACTTAGCCCATTTTGCGCGATTAAGTTTAATCTCCAATCTTTTGTGTTAGAAATTTATTAAATAACTAATGTACTCTCATTGAAAGAAATGCATATGAATATAAAAAAAAATATATATATATATATGCGATAGTACTATTTAAAACTATTCTTTTCGTATCTATTTTTTATTTTGTAAATGTGGGACATGTATTACTTTATACATTGTAAATTAATATCTAGTTATAAATTTGACTAGATTAAATAATAGATATGCAAAATTACTTGATAAAATTTAAATGTATATATCTATAAAATTGATTTGATCTTATTTGTATATTTAAATTATTTCAAAAAAAGAACATTATTTATGTGTGACTAACATGATAAATTCATTGTACGATGAAAGGAGAGTGTAACATTTTTTTTACGTCAATGTGCGAATGTATGTTATAACTTTGAAGTTTTATTTTTCTATTTTTATTCATATTATATATACATTTTTATAGGAATTTTATTCTTTGATATTGCGTTGCGTATATTTCAAGCATGGAATACTGACAAAAAATGTATAACTTTTTAAAAGTGTAATAAACAAATTTGTAAAAATATCAAGTCCTATTCAATCTGATACAATAATAGATACTAGTAATGTTATAATATAATATTGTAATAGAATGGGCAAACTCAATTTTCTTTATGAATATATTAGAGGAAAATAATTAACATTTTTTTTTTAATTTAATTTCTGATACAATTTGAAGTAAGTAATATAGTACAAAATCGATTATTAAACATTTCAGAGAGAAAAATGTGTCATTAATATCAATCCATATCAATCTTTCAAGCTTTGACATACGAACTAAATTTACTGGTAATAATATTATAACAAACTTCAATAAGTGATTCACTGGACATGGATAGGTGCAAGCATAAACGAAATTATATGGACGAAATGTATAATATTATATGTAAAATAGAAAGTTTGTAAGTAATGTATATATATCTGTGATTTCTGAATGACGTGGCTACTACACTTACAGATTCATAAAATAAAATATCATATCAAATGAAATCTTCAATTAAAGAAAACGGAATATTCTCTATTTCTGTTCGCTAGGAAGCCCGAGCCTGAGATGTGCAACGTGAGCTGCCCTCCTCTAGGATGTCCTCGAGGACCCTGTCCGGGAATGTGCTACTCAAAAGGAAGATTGCTTGATCCTTGCTGCGTGTCGAGAATGTCATGTAGCTCGTCACTCCATCCATCTCATCATTGCATGTCACGATGTTTAAATGACTATGCATGCAGTGTGGTTCGCTTGCCGTATTACGGCTCTTCATCGATGATTATAAATCGAGGAAACCCACATAACCAGAATGGTGGTTGTTTCAATCCTCATGATCAATCAGGATTCCAACAAGCTTTCCACTCTTCCTCTCATAATCTTACATCGACTACATTCCCTCGTTGCACTGGATCCGTTCAATGTTTGTAGTTGAGTCCAAAGATATAGTTATACTTGTATTATGAACAAATATTTTTTCCCATTAAAGAAATTAAAATAAAGAATCCAGATTACTTAGAGAAATTGTGCTTTTTATTCTATTGTCTCGTTATTACGATCTTATTGTATGATTTTTGTTTATTCGAATATTCTACGTAATGAAAGTAATTTTAATAATTACGAGAAAATAATTAGAAGATGTTTTTAATGCAATTGCATTATTTCATTACATCTCCGCTTTCAATGTTAAAAGTAACTACTTTTCCGGTAGATTATACCATGGCGTAAATACACCATGGATTATACGAAAAGTTTATACATATACGTGCTTTGATTTACATGTCTTGAAATTTATAAAATTAATTACATTTTCATCAATGTGACGGAATTAATAGACTTTCTACAATAAATTATTAACTAAGTCTTTAGCTTTAAGTCTTAAGCCGTAAGAAATTGATCAATCACAATCGAATGTGAGAAGAATAATCGACTATGATTGGTCAATTTCTTACGGCTTTACAGCTTAGGGCTTCTTAAAGTAAGGTTGTGGACTTAGACTTAAAGCCTGGAGCACACGATGCTTATTTTCCTGCTGGATTACTAGCTGGATTAGAATATTGCCACCGTATTAGCTGCGATGCTGTCAGTGCCAGCATCGTTCTCGGCATGTCTACAGCCTCTACTGCTACTGTTCATTGCAGACAACGCTTTATGATTAATTAATGCTTGGTTTATGCTTCGGTTAACCCCAAAATTCTAAAATTCAGCCAATAAGACTACCAGTCTTAATTAGTCCTAACTAAAATCTATATTCCATTAGCTGAATTTTAGGATTAAGACCAAAGCATAAACCAGGCATAATTTGCTTAGTATTACGTCTTAGGCCTAATTGCACCAACGCCACCAACATTACTTTAATTCGTGGTCTACAATGGCAGTATCAGTAATGCATCATCTAGACTTTAGGCACACAAAATTCCGTAACAGTATGCGTAAGGTGTAAACTTAAGCCGATGGCTAATTGGTTCATCGGCTTAAGTTTACGTCTTATGGTCACTGTTACGGAATTTTGTGTGCGGCAGCCCAATTCTATCATACTAAAATAAAAAATCGATTTTAGAGTCTAAAATCGATTTTTCATTTTCTCTAAAATTTAGACATCAAAAAATAGTATATTTAACTACTTTCAGTTTGAACATTAATGTTATGCTATGAATGCGTATGTATCAGCTAAAAAAATATCATTTTAATTAAAGTCAGTGATTTTAGTAAAAAAAAGTCTATACTCTTTTGTAAAATAATGTAAACATCATTTCCATAGAATTTTAGTTGTAAAAAATGGACGACAGAGAAAAAGATCTCGTTACATATTACCCAATCATACATAATTCTGTAGAAATATTTGCGGCTGTAATTGGCAAGTCACGCGATCAAATGGAAGTTAGTTTATAGTTTAATATTTGAAGTAAAATAATAACAGCATTTTACGTTTGCAACGTTTATCAATTTCATTAATAATTAAACGTTTATCAACGTTTATCAATTTCATTAATAATTAAACGTTTATCAATGTTTATCAATTTCATATTTCTTACAGTGTGGTATGACTCCATCGGAATACATCAAACAGATGTTAATGTGTACTCAAGAAAGAATCAATTATTTGCTGAAACCAGGTCGCAATATAAACGTACGATCTTTATATTACAATTGCGGAAGCCACTGCTTTAAAGTTTCGCCTAGTATTGTTCTTTTTCAACGATTTGTTCCCGGCAATTTGTACAATACGACACTCACGATTCAAAACTTGACAAAAGTAAATCTTTTCTACTCTAATCATACATCTTGTTAATATTTAACTAACGTGTCAGATTCTGTTACGCTAACTCTCTTCACGATTGTTATATAATATTCACGAGCTTAACCTCGATTCCATTCTCTAAATATTGCATCAAAGATGTCACGGTCCCTGAAGCTCTCGCGCGACCCCGATCCTTTCTTTTCCGTGGAATATCATGGATCAAATTACAGTACTATGATAGCGCCAGGACTCGTTCAAATTTATAACGTCAGGTTCAACCCGTCAGAGAAGCGAGATTACGAATATCATATCAAGTTTATCAGTGATACCGAGGTCTTCGTGGTACCAGTAATCGGTGAGGAAGGAAATTATATTATAATTACGTATGGTCACGTAACACAGAGTAATACAGATTATATTGATATTGTTCTAGCCATTGGTTTGAGACCTATTCTAGACATTCCTGATCAGATCGAAATACCAGCTACTGCGGTGAAAATTCCCTCTTCGAAAACTATTCTGGTACGCAATGTAGGAGATGCACCAGCGATCTTTAATTTTTGCTCGGAAAGGTAATGTTATATTCAATTAAAAAGATATACTAAAATTTAATAAACTATTATATTTCCAAATAAAAAATTTGTCTATATGATACTTTAAATATAATCCACGTATGTTGCTAAAATATTTTTAGAAAAATATTAGACAACTATGCCAAAGCAATTTGAGATCTATATATAATAATTTTTATTGTATTAGTTCTTGTTTCTCAATTGAACCGTCAAAAGGCATATTGGGGAAAGAAGAAATGATGCAACTCACTGCTAATTTTTTATCTAAAGAATTTGGCGATTTTGAAACAAATGTTTTACTTAATTATGAATCAGGTATTAAATAAAACTAACTTTATTGTTCAAAAGGCATATTGGGGAAAGAAGAAATGATGCAACTCACTGCTAATTTTTTATCTAAAGAATCTGGCGATTTTGAAACAAATGTTTTACTTAATTATGAGTCAGGTATTAAATAAAACTAACTTTATTGTTTATATATATATATGTGTGTGTGTGTTACATCCGGGAATAGTCATTTGGGGTGTTTTTACACCCCAGCGATAACATATTTACTCCATAATATTTGTTTGGTTTCTACTTACTTTTCCCAGAAAATTGTAATTATTATAAATCCATTATATTTATATTATTCTCAAATATTAATAAATCGAAAAACAATCACTAATATATGTCCAAAGATAGATGTAAATCGTCCAATAATAACTAATATATATATATATAATATATTAATTGTTAATAATAATAATTTTAATTAAGGTGTAAAAACATTCTATAAAATTCCCCCCTCCCCCCTCTGTCTCTTCTATTCCTAAATTAATACAACAGTTATAATACAACTTTGCAACATAAATTTATATAATTAACAATAAACATCTGTACATAATAAATTCAAAATATATAAATTGCAGGAGAAAAGCTCTGTTTAAGGTTACTGAGTTCAGCAATAAATTGCACGATTCGAATTGACAGACATAGTATCAGAATGGAAGACACTTATTTAGGTTTATCTAGAAGTAAAGTTCTAACGATACACAATAGAAGCGACTACGTAGTGAAATTCCAATGGATGCGTTTTAAAGACAATGATACCGATGTACAACGCAAAGAAGAGTATGTAAAAATAATTATAACTCAAGTTAAAAATTTTTATTTTTATCCGTTTTAGTGATCTGTCAGCTTTTTGTGGCAGGTATAAAAAATTATTTCAACTGGTGCATAGAGTCGAAGTAGTACGTCGTGTCAATCTTGTTCATTACAATATTTGTCTGCCAGATATTCATGAGCTTGTCTGCAAACGGATTTATACAGACGAGATTGCTTCATTGACGAATGAAGATTTCCGCTACAATCATACATCTTTCCTTCTTATGCCTGAGGTGATTTTTTCTTAACTTACAAGCAGATTGCTCTTGTTAGTAACTCTTTCAGCTTTTAATAATAACGTAATATATTTTAATTATAGTTTGCTTAATTTTTTTTATTTTAATTTACTCGTTGCTCTTATTATACCATTATTAAAAATGTATATCAGAAATATTATTTTAAAATTATATATATACTTTCAGGAAGGCGAAATTTGGCCACAATCTTCCGCAGATATCACGGTGATTTTTCGAGCCATGGAAGTAGGCGAGATATCGAGCATCGCTTATCTTGAAGTCATGGGTCGCGAAGACAGAATACCTCTGAGGTTACAAGAAAACTAGTATAATGTTATCTTTAGGAACTTCCTTTTGCCTCGGAATTTTCTAACTAATTTTGCGTCCCGTTGGTAGCCTTCGCGGAACTGGCAAGGGACCAGTTTTCCATCTCAATGTGATCACTATCGATCTTAGCAGTATCTTTCTATGCTCCGTGCACAATTATGAGGTAACCCAGTAAATTCATTTGCATATACAAATTTTATAAAAATTTATGGGAAACTCTTATGTCGCAGTTTCACTCAATTTTTACGTCTTTTTGTATACATCATTTCATTTCTTCCATGTTTTTCTAAGACATATAATAATTAATTGTATTGTATAGATTGTAGCAGCAAATCATGGACACATTTGTGGTACGTTGATTCATAAAGAAAGACCGACAGATTTTGGTGGCACTATTAGTATTACTCCAAATGCTCGAACGTTAAAACCGGACGAATATAAATCATTTAATTTATCATTTTCTTCAAATCGGAAAGGAGACTTTATAGAGCGAATCGACTTCATTATAAAAGAGAGTTTAGAAGTATTATCCTTACATATCAAGTAATTATTAATAAAATTTGCAATCGCCATTACAAATAAAAAATCCACAATTTTTTAAATTATTGTAGATTTTTGTAATAATCGAAAATATTAGATTTATTTATAAAAATGTATTAATTTCATTCTTATTGTTGGAAAGATCTTAAACACTATTTTTTGAATTCATATATTTATTATTTCTCTGCCGTCTAATATTTTTTCTAATTAATATTATGCAGCACAATATTATAATATGTTATCAAATTTATTTGTAGGGGATGTGTGATATGTCCAACGTTGCATTTCGATAAGCATATTCTTGATTTTGACGAAACTGCTTTAGGTATATTGACTAGAATAATGAATGCAATTCAATTAAGAAAACCGCAATTTTGTATATGTATTTGCAGGATTTATCAAAAAACAGGAAGTAAGTCTTCATAATTTATCTTTGGTACCCGTCACGTTCGGTGTAACTATAATGGAGGATGGTGATCAGACACCTTTGACTTACGAAGAGTTTGCTACATCTAAAGTGAAACCAAGTTTTCCGACTAACCCTCGCGAGTTTACGGTTATTCCACAGAAAGGGGTAGTGCAGGCACATAGTTCGCTTAAATTAAAGGTAAACTAAATAATGCCTTTGTACAGCTTGTAATTGTTTGCAAGCAAAATGCTAATTTGTATCTTCTAATACGAATGTCATGTATAATATGAAACCAGTTTTTAATCTCTATATAATTAATTAAAAATTGTTTTTAATTATTAAATAACTTATATATAAAAATTTTATACAACTTTAAAAAGTGAAATAATATCTTTATAATAAATGAATACTTGATATCTCTTTATTAAAAAATACAGGTATCGTATATAGCGAACGTGGTTCGAACTGGACGGACGAATATGAGAGTCGACATGTGGGATTCAGATTCGAATCCCATAATACTACCGCTCTCATTTTGTGGCGCTATTCCTTCTCTATCGATCAAGCCTATGGAAATCAACATTCGATTTTCTTTCATCAACTTTCCGTATTCTCGTTCCATCAATGTAGAAAATGATTCTGATTTAGATGGATATTTTTATATAGTACCGCAGATGGTAATTGTTAAATTAATTTCGAAAGATAAATTTATGCTTATAGTTTCGTAAATATAATTTAGAAATATATTAAGCATTAAAAGTAACACCTACAGTTATTCTAAGCTAATTGCATTAATATCGTTTTCCAGATATCCGAGAATATGCTTATTGTATATTCATTATCATCCTATCAAGGTTTTCTAAAAGCACGACAATCGAAGACAATTGATATCACGATTATTACAAAAAATTTAGGCAGGCAGACGACAACATTAAAGTATAATAATATTAGCTCAATAATCTTTTAAAAAAGTTAGAATAATTTAATTATATGTGATTCAAAAAAAATAGTTCTAAAATTTATTTAATTGGATATTTATAGAAATTCTCTGCGGAAATTTTGAATATTATTTTATGTAAAATATAATTTCTTATAAAAAACTTTTATTGTTTTAATTTTTCGTTGTAAGTATGCTGACAATGGGTGAACAGGCTCCAGTTACGTCTTGTGTGATTATTTGTAATGGCCAAGGACCAGTAGTATCTGTGCAACCTATTTGTCTCAATTTCGGAGAGATACAAGTACTTCAAGATAAAGTTATGAATTGTAACATAATTAACGACTCACCAATACCAGCGCAGTTTAAATTAACATCAGTAAGTACTTTTTAAATAAATGAATAATAAATTTATAGAATGCATAAAGTATATGAAACATATTATGGAAATTATCTTATATTTTTTAGCCTAAGAAAAAGTCATCATGGCTCATTGAACCAACCTTTGGTGAAATTAGACCGAATGACTCTGAGGAGATTAAAGTCAAACTATTTTTGCGCGATACTGGTAAATACACTGATAATATAATCGTGCATGTCATCAACAGTCGGTCATTTTCCATTAATGTAATTGCGACTGGAATCGGTTGTAGTATCGTTTTTGAGCCGCAGATATTTCCAATACTTGATATGGGCTTTCTCTTTAGGTAAATCAAAATATTGAAAGAACTTTAACTCATTTTTATAACAAAGATAATAAAAATTATTTTTAAATTATTTATTCGTATGATATTTTTAATTTATTTAATTTTAATAGCCATCAAAATTTGAGTCTGCCAGTAACTATAAAAAATTTTGGCACGCGTCATTGTCAAATAATATGGTCAAACGATCCAGAAGTTCGTATTCAAAAAAGTCAAACCTGGCCAAAGTAATTGCATAGTTTCTACTTAAAATTTTATTTTAAGCTTTTTTTACTTTATAGTTAGGATAATAAAAACTTTGTTTTGCAACAGAAAGTTTCAAATTGAACCGTCCACCGTAGAAGTTCCAGCTAATGGTTCTAACGTAGTTCAATGCAAAATATGTTGGAATATGTAAGTTTGGGTTAAATTTTTATGCTTCATAATAATAACCTTCCGCGAACCAGTTGAAAAATCAACATGGATTATATATGGGTATATCTCATATCTCATGTCGGTGCACAGTTACATCTGAGATAATTAAATTTAAATTAAGAATATACATTATTGTATTCATAATATCTAACTTTGACCGATTATTGGCGGTCTCTACAATAAAGAAGTGAAATCTTGACGGAAGATTGGTATATATTCGAGCAAATTTTCGGACAAGGAAAGCGAAAATTGATGGGAACTTCTACATTTAAAGCCACTTTTATGGAGCCACGGATTGCATTCAACAAAAGAGAATTAACGTTTTGCATCGATATATGTCCCGAGGGAGAAAAATTGCAACAGACAGGTAGAGAAAATTATATTAATATGTTCGAAACTATTTCAGCAATGTAAACTATCCGAAAAAATTGTACAATATAATATTCCAGAGGGCATTCATGAGGTACTTGGCGTCAAAGTTTACTGCGTAATAAACAATTAGGATTTTCATATTATTTAAATATTCACAATTTTCTTATACTGAATAAAATAATAATAATGTTTCTAATTTGCTAATTTTTAGATAAACTAATGGTGACAAATCAATCACGATTGAGTTTAAATGTTTTATTGCATATTGACGCTCCATTTTATTTGATGAATAATAAGAAAAAGTTGGTACATGAAAAGAAAATTGTTTTGATAGACGGAACTACCACAACGATTCCGGTAAAATTTTCACCAAATATAAAACTCGATTATCCTTATTCGCGAAATTATAGCGGCGTGCTCTGGTTTAAATATGAAGATCATCCTACTAAGGTATTGAAAAATGTTTATTGCAAAATTAATTAAAGCAATGCAAAAATGTTTTCTAACTAATTTTAGAACAAAATTCAATGCAAAGGTGCGATAAATTTCCCGAATATTACATTACATTGCAAAGATTTGATTATTAATAGTATTTTGGGTTCTACCGCCAAAGAAACATTGAGGATGACTAATAATGGCCCAATTCCAGTAATATATAAATTTCTATGGGCCGGAGAGAGTATTGAGATTGAACGTGGAGCACATGATGTTGGAGTTGAGTTGCACCGATTTACAAAAAAAAAATTTTATTATTTGTTACAAGTTATTTCCAATAATTTTCAATAATCCTAAATAACTAACAACGTTTTTTAACAGAATTCCACAAATCATTTACAATTACAAATTAATGCAGAAAATAATAAATTTAATCCCCATTCCTACAATATTAAAAAGAAGTCAGAGACTATCTCTCAGGAAACTGAAAATAAAATTCTTGATTTATCAATTTCGACATTATATGGTATGTATTATTAAATATTTCTTATTAAAAATTTTAATTTTAAAATTAACTCATAATATTCCTTTAATATATATTTATTGCAAATTATTAATTAAACAATGTTTTATATTATTAATAACGCGATTTATTAATAGTTCATTTAGTGATTTCAAGAGCTTATATTTTTCATGCACATATTTTTCACATCTATTATCAGAGCTGCAAGAAGCTTCAAATTCAAAGAATTTGCTAATGCAAATTCGATCGGAAACGCTAGATGAAACACTCGAAAAATTAAGAAATATTTTTATGTCAACGACAGAAACATCCTATTTACGGTGTCTAGATGACCCAGAAATTCTTACTCATATAGATTCGAATTTCGAGCCACTTACGAAGGAGCCACTCGATGATGTTTGTCTTTTTCTAAATAAAATTCGTTTAAATCAAATTAATATTTATTGTATATTGTAAATTCTTTACTATATTTAAAAATTATATTGCTATCTCTGTAGTAAATTCATATTTTAAAACTAATGGCAAAGCTAACGATTTATATAGATACTTGACATTATCCCACACGAAGGCGTTCTCGTGCCATTTTCCTCGCAATATGTAAGCTTCATTTTCCATGCCTCCGAGCCTATGCAACTCAAAGTTGTCGCGCTTTGTGAAATTCTTCAGGGACCTACTGAAATAGTTAACATATTTGCCAGCACAGACGTCATTCGATATTCTGTTGATAAACAGATCATCGACTTTGGTCAACAAGTGAGTTATTTTTCAATTTCAATAATTACAGTACATATTTTTTTAAGCAGTATCTGCACTTTTTAATTTTTTTTAAATAATAGTTATTATATTTTTTATATTTTTATATTTTTTAATAATAGTTTTTGTTTTAATAATAGTTATTTCGCTATGTAATAAATTTAATATTGGTATGTAAGAAAACTAGCAATGGAATAAAAAATTAATTTGTCTGATTAGTTAATTTAATAATTCACTCTAAAGTTAATTTCATTTAAAGTTAATTTACATTCAGTCTAGTTTACTAATTTAATATATCGATCTACACCACAGTTATTTGGCGAATTGTGTCGGTCGAGCTTTACTTTGCAAAATCATAGCACGATATATATGGATTACAAAATAAACAAGAGAAATTTAATATTCAAAACAAGCAATCTCGACTCTACAATAGGCGTATTAACAATTGAACCGAATAAAGGATCTATAGATCCTCTAGCGTCATTAAAAATTACGATCGAACTTCAACCCATACTGCTCGGCGCTTTTGAAATAGAGTTTGAGTTGCAAGTGTGTCACAATACAACATACTATTTAATTCAACATTGCAATTATATTTTTGTTATGGACGAATCAGAAAATTATTATTTAAGATACAATTATATATAAAATATAATTCAAACTGTTATTATATAGTGCTTTATAATTACTATATCAATATTTAGGTGGCTCATGTAGATCCATTAACAATTACCACAAAAGGTGTTACAAGTTACCCACAAATTTATCCCTGCATCTCGCGCGATATTTTTAAACCTGTGAAATTGGGATACCGTGCGATTCAACTGCTAACTCCAGACTTTATCACGATGGTATGAAATTTTATACAAAAATGATGGAAAGATTTAATGCATGTCTTTCTACATTACAGAAAAAACAAGAAATACAAATACGATGCGATGTGGACAATAACAATCCAAAGAGTCAAGTGCCTGAATGGGACGAGCGAATCTTATTAAGTAAGATAAAACATAATTAGATTTCTAATATGGTATAATGACAAAATACAATATATAGTTAATAAATTTGTTCAACTAATAAAAAGATCTTAAATAATTTTTAATAATTATTTTTAAGATGACGGCTGGGACTTAATTTCATATGAGGAAATATTTCCTAGTATCATCGACATCGAGATGTCTATTGATAGACTTCTGGCAACTCGATTTATTGAAGAAAATGCTTCTATTTTGACAAAACATCCCATTTCGCATAAAAACGCTGTTATTCCTTTTCTTTATACTCCTAAATATATCATTGGTATATGATTACAAAAAATATCAATTATTTTTAAATTGATTAATTCTAATTAATTACCAAAAGAACACATAAAAGTCAAGAAAGAATCGTAATGATGTCAAAATGACTTTATTTTGATGCTTAAGTCAATAAACAGTTAAATTTTGCAATCAAAAATTATTTTGACACCATTTTGACTTTTTCCTAACTTGGTGTGTACCGTAGATACGTCTAAATAAACTGAAATTCGATCTGTAAATGAAGTAATTACGAGAGTAAACTGGCAGTACTCATAAATAATTAATAGTGCAAAAAATATTTTTAGACATGGGTTACATTGCGATCGATGTCAAAACGTGCTATTCAACAACGGTTGTCAATTACGGGCCTTGGAACGCGGAGGTTACAATAAAAAAATCAGAAAAGAAGCAACTTGAAAATTTCGGCATTTTTATACAATTTGAAAAGACAACATTAACCGTTGGGAAAACTACGTGCCTGACTATTACGTGGCAACCGACAACGATCAAGTATTATGAAAGAAGCACGAGAGAACAGCACACAATTTATTTAGAAGTAAACTTAATTGTTTATATTTTATCGTTTTTAAATAAAATTTAATTTAATTTAATCAAAATATTTGTGCATATTTAAAAATCACGGCAATAATTTAATGAAAATATTATTAAGAATAGTATATTATATAAATATACATGTATATATGTATAATATACATGCATAATATATATATGTATATACATATTAGAGACATTTTAAATATATTAACGAATTAAACTAAATTATAATTTCTTGATTAAACAGGTATCCCGTGGTTCTATTATTCCCATAATTATAAAAAGCATCATTACTTATCCATTCGTAACTGTTAACACGAAATTATTAAATTTTCAAAATGTCATCGTAGGAGAATGTTTAATGATGAACGTTTTAGTGAAAAACGAGTACATATTCTTATTTAAACACACCTGAAACTTTTATCAATAGGATACATAATTTTTAAATTTTAATTTTCAGAGGTTTTATTAATTGTTATTGGGAAGCAAATATATTAACTCGTAAAAAATATGAAGATTGCCCATTTTATATTAATTATAAATCTAATCTTCTTTTGCCTGGTCATTCGGATATCATCAATGTTTATTTCAAACCACGTAAAACGGTACTACTGTATACGTATAACTGTACGCATATATTAATGAAATTAAATGACTATGACATTGCTAATCATTTAGTGTCGCATGGAGGCAAATTTAAAAATCATTGTTAAAATGGGTTTGGAAACACAAGTGGTAACATTGCTTGGTCATGGAATCGAATATAAATTGCGAATAAGTGATCTCGACATTAGTTTCCCACCCACAGTGCTTTTTACCGAAGTACTGGAAAAAACGTTTACGATAGAAAATAAGTGCAATTATCCCGTAGAATTTTTCTGGCATCATCTCGACAGGTAATTAATAATAATAAATTTGGCAGATTAGAAGCAACAGCAAAATGAGAGAAGGTACCGAGAAAATTTTACTTTTTTATAAAAATTGTTCTTAAAAAATGGCTATCTTCTCATTTCACGATTAACGTGAAAACAAAGGTGAAATGATATGGAATGACTTTATTGAATAAATGTGTTACAGTCTTTTTCTAGAAGAAGAGCGAATCGCCGAGGCACTGACTCGTTACTACGGAGTTAAAGAAATCCTATTACCGCCTCGAAAACTCGGAGAAAGAATACCGCCGTCTTTAATGGAATTCTATAATAGTCTCAAGAGTGAGATGGCGTACGCTTTGTCGACGGAAGCAATCCAGAAAAAAAGTGCCACTGTGTTCAATGGTACATATATTAAGAGTACTTGAAAATAAGCTTCTTTTTCCGGATTATAATCTTTAATTGCCATATTACAAAAAAATTCTTTGCTTCAGCTAGCAATATTTGCAAATATAATTTTACACTAATGCAAAGGTTTATATATAATGCAATATGTAATTAATGTTTAAATAGATGACAAACTTTTGAACGTGGAGAGTAAGAATAGAATAAGAGCAAGAAAGAAGTCGTCTAGTACATCAAGATTATTTGTTCAACAATTCTCGAATCGACAAAGCTCGAAAATAAATTTGCAAAAAGATTTTAACGTTGACAGATGGAAACGGAAAAAATCAATTGGTTATTCATCCACTTCTACGGACACCGCAAAAAGAGATTGCCCGCCCATGTCAATCCTTAGTGAGCTCGATTTCCCTCGCGAACCTCCAATATTATCAACAAACGATCCCAAAGAACTTCATAATTTACTTCTCTGTGAGCAACTTTATCTCGATAATACAAATTCTTACTGTGCAACTTTTATTGCATTGTCGTTACACGTTTTAATAAAAGTATGACTTTTTATATCTATTTTTATTTCCAAGGTTATATAGAGACTCTGCGTAAAGATCCTAATTTTTGCAAAAGAATAAGAGATCCTGTAAAAGAGCTGTTTGATAGTCATGAAACAAAATCATTTCCTGAGCTCGATTCTGCGCAACCGGCTAAGAAAGTTTGCATTCTCTTTCACGGCGCACCATTTACTGGTAATTTCGCATTCAAAAACATACGAACAAAATGTGTATTTACTGAATTGCATTACTTTAGAATATCAGGAAACCGCGTGCAGGAGCGCTAAGGCATTGCAAGTGCCGCTATTATACATAGATAGTGTAATTATCGAAGGCATTGCACTTGGCGACAGTTGGGTTTCCATCAAGTTGCGACAAATTATCGACGACGCTTATCAAGAATATTTGTCAGCATTCACAAGATATAAGTAATTGTAAAATTAAGAGACATAGGACGATATTCATAGTCCATTATTATTTTAATAGTAAGTAATGTCTTAAGATACTAATACGGCTCTCTGATTGCTTCATAAAGACAATCTTAAATATAAAATCTGACTATGAATACTGTCCATAGATTTTTAAATAATCAGATTTTAAATAATTTATAAATAAATATTTTATAAAACTTTTATTTAAAATAATAGATTTTGATTCTTTTATTTAAAAATAAAAACATATATAAAAGATTTTAAATTTATTTTTCGTCTCAGAGATGATTTGGAAATTAAACTACCGGCAGCAAAGAAAACCGATGTCGAAATTGCAAAAAATGATCATGAAACAATAGCAAAAAAGGAATCGCTTAAAGAAATAAAATCACCGAAAACAACTAAATCTAATTCAGAAACAATAGCAGCATTCGATGAACACTCAGAGAGTGATACTCCAAGAATGATTCTTTTTGAGGCGGAATTCGCAAAGCTTCCAAGAGAACAGGATTTGAAGTTTTTAGACCTTATAAGTCTTTACGAATATAAAATCCAAACAATTTTGCTATTGCAAAAAATGTTTCTACATTACGCAACAATTGAATTAAAAGTTAATGAAAAAGATCAGAATGACACTTTCCTCGGAATTGAAATTGAATTATTAACCGAAGTTCTTAGAGAAAGGTGGTATTTAACACGTACATTTTTTAATAAATTAGGATTATTGGAAGATTTTTTCGCAATTTTTTTATAGTTTTTATTAAGTTATTTTTTATTTAAGTACATAAACTTTCTTAATGAATTAATTAAATTAATTTGACTAATTACGAATATATGTATGCTGAGAGAAAGAGCTATCTTAATAAGTACAAAAAAGTTTTAGTTCTATAATTTATATTTTTTATTATAATACTTTGCGTGTTTAAAATTTTTTATTTTTTTTCCTCCTAATTTTTTTTTAAACTTCTACTCTTTTATACTTACATTCTTAGTCATACTCATTTCCTATGCCAGGGAAAATAGTTGAAATAGAAAATAGTAAATATTAATACATATTTTCAGTACAGGGAAAAAGTTGAAATAAATTCAATAGAAATATTTATTTAAAGGATGCGTCTACAAAAACACTTTTTGAAACAAGTGTTTTGGATAGCAAATATAAAAAAGACAAAGAGTAGTTACTATTTATATTAATATTTACTTGTAGGTAATAAGATACTTATCTGATTTTGATATATTTCATGGTTAAACAAACTACTTCCATTTTCGACTTTTCATTTCTTAACAATACAAAATAGAAAATAGTAAAAGTAACGGATGTCACGCAAAGTCACCCTGTATATCTATGAAGCACGTGCTGTTTTTATTTTACTTTTATTATTTTCCATGGTAGAAGAAACCCACCATGTTATTTTCTATTTTGTACTATTAAGAAATAGAAAATAGAAAGTAGAAAATAGAAGTATTTTGTTTAATCATAATATCAAAATATCAAATAAATATTCTATTTCAAGTAAATATTAATAATATAAATAGTAAATACTATTTGTTTTTTTCATATTTACTACACAAAATACTTATTTTAAATAATATTTTTCATAAATTTGTTCTTGAATTTAAATAAATAAATAAATTAATTTAAATAAATGTTTCTACAGAATTTATTTCAATTTTTTCTCAACTCTACTCCATTCTTATTCTTAACAAGCAGGTTATCAACACCAATCTTCAAGAGCGGTTTCGTACTGCAAACTTTAAACAATCTCTTTTTCAAAAACAATGTTACCACGCTGCTTACATTACTCAACATTATTGGACACGTAGAATATTCATTGTTTGTAACTTTTCTAAACTCAATAGATACTTACATTCAAAAAATGGAGGAATTACGAAAATTAGAAAGTAAGTTATAATAAAATAAATTACATATATATAAATGTTTAGAAGGATTACATTTTTACGTTAATTGTTTGAATAAAGCAAACAAATTAGCGGAAGAAGTTGCTAAAAAAATTCAGGAAATTGATGAAATGTCATTATCGGAATATGAGTTGCTTCCGGAAGAAGACAAAAAATTTTACTTGGAATCAATTTTACCAATAAAGAAAGAAGAAGCGTTAAAAAGACGAATGCAATTTTCACAACAAATGATGGAATTGAGAAGAAAAAAGGTATCGACTTTAATTTAACTTTATAGATCATAAATTCTCTATATACACATATAATTTATATTTTCTTGGAAAATTACATAAGATATTCATAATCATAATAATTTTTCTATCTCAATTCTTCTCTTGCCAATTTCATGATCTTACCATCAATATTAATGTAAATGAAATTATATTTGTAATGTTTAATATTTAAATTTCTTATCGATAATACGCATTTCACAAAAATTTTTTTTTACTTAGCAAGTATCTAACGCTCAAGCCACTACGAATAAAAAAATAAATGGAAAGGCAAAGAATGAAAAAATCAGTAGTCGAGAAGAAAAATCCCAAACTTCTAAAGCGCCCACCCACATGAAAGAAATTCGAGAGCATAAAGAACTCGAAAGTAGATATAGTTTCTAAACCAAGTAATATTTAAAGTAAAACGAAATATCATGCAAATATTAACTTGTTGAGAGAAAACATTTTATTTTATTTGTAATCTTATACTCAGTTTCAAAAAGGCAAGAAACATCAAAGGAATTGAAAGCTATTGCTGATGCTATGAATGATTATTATAGCCATCTTTCGGCTATAGAAAATGTTATAAAGAATTGGGATCCTCTTAAAAAAGTAAATATCCATAAAATTCTACATAATTTTGATTATTTCTTCTGAATATCATATTTAAAAGCATTTATTACTATTTTTTAACTACTTATATTACCGCTAATAATTTTTAGTTCGTTTATATAATTTACTATTTAAAAAATAAGTATTTAGCATATGTGTGTGTGTATGCGCGCGCACGCGTGTGTGTATGATGCTTATAATAAAATCTGGAACTTAATAAACAAAAAAATTTTTTTACTATACATTCTATATCTACAAAAATTTATTGTAACAGATTTATAAGAACGGATTTCATACTTGGTACGTAAATACTACAGATCCATGGAATCGAGTGATGTATGATGTAATAGTAAATCAAATGAGGGAAAATGATTTAGCTAAAAAAGCTCTTCGTAAGTAATATATTCTTCTCTTTAAATAAATTTTTTTTACAAAAGTATAAAATAATGTTAAATTTAAAACTAGTTGCTAAAATCATGCCAATATTGGATCTCGAATCGAAAAAATATTATATTCTTAAGCCACGAGATATAAAAAAACCAGATATGGGAAATAATGGCAAGTATATTATATTATATAATTTATAACGTGTAATATATTTATCACACAAAAACGTATTAATCGCAATTTTGTTTTGTTAATCAGGAGCTTTTCAAATTGTTTCATTATCTACACTATCCAACTCTATAATTATGGAATCTAATTCGTCACATACTAATATAATTAGTAAGCAAGAAAATTCTGTAAAGAATACCAAACGCAAAGAGCGTATTTTTAATCAAAATAAAGAACCATTGACGGCATCCTTAAACGCATCTACGGTAGACAGCACGGACATTAATGAACTTAATATTAATACAATCTTTGAGAAGGTATTAAAACCACGATGGATTTTGCAACCTAATGAAATTCAGAAATTCAAGATTCGATATCAACCTGAAGAAGTGGGAACTCACCGACAAACATATGCATTATCCGTCCTTGATGGCAATGAAATTACTTATGATATAAATGTTTCTGTCGTCGCAGATGTCCCAAGATTAGACATGAGCCCAAATACTATTTTTTCAAAAGTAATAACGGTTTTTATGGATAAATATTAAAATGCATACAAAAAACATTAAAACCATTCATTATTAAATTAAATTACTTATTGTTAATTTAATTTAATATTAAATAATTTTATAAATTATTCATAATTTTTATTAAAGTTTATTAAAGTATATATTACCAAGATAATTTTTCACGAAGAAAAATTAATGAAATGTGTTCCAGATCAAAGAAACAAAAGTAAACAATATAATTGATCCCACATACTTTTCTGATGTTGATATCTTCGACTTTGGATCATTATTGGTGCATCAAAAGGATAAAAGGTTTGATTTGATACATTATATGATGTCCAATAATGGAAAGTGTATCAAAACTGTAAAACATGTGCTCATAGAACACTTTTGATACACCATAGCTCAAAAATTATCCATTATTGAGCCTTATATTTCATATCTTTGTCCACCAAATTATAAGCATATATGAAATATTTATTTCACCGAAACTCAATTTCTTATTTAATTATTACGGAGTTCTTTATTATAAATTAATTACAAATTTATTATAAATTTATTATAAATATGTAATTTACAAACAGTGCTCATCGTCGTGAAGCAAAATTTAAGTTCTGCAATGTATCCAAAGTTGACGCAGAAGTATCCTTCACTCTCGAAGAAAATAATCCAGATATTTTCATTATAGAACAAGAGATACTTTATATTCAGGTATTTTTTATTATTCTGTTTTTAAAAAATATATTTATTATCTACACTAAAAAAAAAACATGCCGATTTTTTAATTATTTTCTGCTGTTTAATTGTATAGGCTGGACAGTGTGAATTGCTAAAAATATCAGCAGGTGTTACAAAGCTTGGTTCATTTGTTGATAAGTTATACATATGCATCACAAATAATCCGCATATTGAGGGTATCGAGGTAATTAGATAAAAAGAATAAAAACCATAACAAAAACCAGAATATTGACACACGCACACAACACACATATACACACACACACACACACACACACACACACACACACACACACACACACCTATACACATATTTTTATCTATAGAAAATATGTGTAGAAATTATTACACCTGAAATGTTTTAGCTTCAATGTAATGGTTCGAAATTGGACATAGAGTTAGAGGATAAACAGTTATCTTTTGGTTACGTACTCTTGCATAGAAAAAAGTTTCTTACTTCCTGTATCCGAAATAGATCCCCAATCGAAATATTCTGGCAATTGGAGTCTAATGAACCATTAGATCCTCAAATCTCAATTACACCGACTAAAGGAATTATCAAGACTTACAGTGATAAAACAGTCGAATTTTGTTATCACGCCAACAAAGTAAAAGATTAAACTAAATTTACACTACATAATACTAAGACCTATTATTAATATTTAAACTTTATTTGCTTAAATTTAGAAATTTAATAATTCTTTAATTCTTTTTTTCTCAATATAAATTTTTTGAAAATCTGGTATTCTAATTCGATATTCCTAAAAATAGCTTAAATTAGATTTTCGGTTTAGATCGGAATGGTTGAAGAAAGCTTGACTTTTAAAGTTTTCTTTTACGAAGACGACACAGAACCTATTTTTATAGAAACTATTACTTTATTCGGCGAAACGTATGACGTTGCTGTTGACATCAATTATGCAAATCCAATTGATTTAAAATGCGTGAAGGTTGGTTTTCCTACGAGCGCAAATTTTACAATGAGCAATCGAGGAAATCACGAAGTTAAATATGCGTAAGTTGAAAAATGTTTCTAGCAAATACTTATATTCATTGTATCGAGATACTATCACTGAAATTGTACATTATCGTTTTCATACATTACAAAATGTTCTTTTATAATTACTTTTAAAGTTATATTTATAGTATATTAATTATTAATTATATATGCTATACCAATTAAGTTAATAATTATAATTAGCATACTTTTGGAAAAGCAAAACAAACTAGCCAATATCGCGCCAAATTTGTCACTAAAATTGAACGAGGACATAGAAATTAATCCTGCTTCTGGTTCCATTCAACCAAAAAAAGAAACTGTTGTACAAGTATGTTGTTTGATGCACTTCTTTTTGGTGATTTCTTGCATTACATCACTAAAAATTAAAATAAGCTAATTATTTTTATTTTTATAATATATTGACTTAATGTTTTACAATAGACAATACAAACAAATTTGATGTATTTTTATGTGTTAAAAAATGTAAATATGTTAAATCAAAATAGCTATAAATTTTAATCAATGAAATTCTATTCAATGACAGGTAACGTTCGTACCAAAAAATGAAATTACTCTAAAAGAATGCCCAATACTCCGTTGCAGTTTTCTTGATATAAATGAACAAGCTACTGTAATTGCGGAATTTCCTCTCACAGTTTCCCTAATTGCGTATTACACGAAGTAAACTGTTACTTAAAGCTGAAAATTTCTTTAAATTATGTCAAAATTTTAAAACAAAGTTTTCCTTTTATAACTTTTAAAAAATCAAATTATAATTTAGTCATAAAATACGTTTTTTTGCTTCTTAATAAATATTAATAACATGGTCATAATTATTCGAAATTATATTCCATTATCTCTTTTAAATACAGGTTTCGCATTTATCCTTACAATGAAATAAATTTTTCCTCGCTCGGTATATGCACGAAAAAAACGCTATATCTTAATGTGGAAAATGTCGGTGAATTCCCTCTTCATTATTCTATTGTAACGCCTATCAAACATCCATTCATTGCCTATATGACAGAAATTAAGACTAAAAACATAATTAAAAAGAATCATGACAAATCAACAGATACGTCAACGAGAAAAGATAAATCGCAAATCGAAAAATCAAATGACAAGTAAATATTTAAAAAATCCTCCTTTTAATTAATAATTTTATGACATATGTATGTAAACATGTATATCAATTTATCTCGAAAAAGTATTTTTTTTAAATTTTTATATACTATTTAATTAAATTAAATATTCCAAAAAATGATTTTAATGTAAATATATAAACAAAATATTTATTTAATTAAAAATTATGTAATTATTTTTAGAAAGACACAAGAATTTACCACTATGTTAAAAATTGGTCCCTTTACTGTGACAAAAACCGAAGGAAACCTTCAGCCTGGAGAGATCGATATCGTGGCAATCGAGTGTTATCCTGAATTCGTAGGTTCTGAAGAAGAAGACATAATAATTCTTGTTCCTGATAGCGTTCCCGAAGATAGGAATGGCAAATTGATAAAATTATCCGTTAATTCCTGCATACCAAGCATCGATCTTCAAGATCTCGACACTATATTCCATGAAAATCACATTGTGAATTACATTGAAGACTTTATTTGTTCAAAAGAAGTATTTAATTCCTTCAACAAGTCAATATCGTATTTATCTTTTAAATTAAAGTAAAACTAAAAGGTTTATATTTTTTATCAGATCGGTACACATACCATATTCGCACGTCAAGAGAAATGCCTGTACTTTCGTTACGTCAGCGTGTTTCATACCCATACTGCATATCTTGTGCTTTACAATCGGAATGTAATCCCTGCCGATGTGGAATTGACCTTACTCGCGGATTCATTTACACCGAAAACTATGAGATCTGATACTTTCGTTCTGATACCCGAAAGAGAACGCATTCAACCAATGAGTCACAAGAGATTCGCGATTTCATTCAATCCGACATTTATAGAGGTAACACTATTTTGTTTTTAAAAACAATAATATATATATAAAATATCTTAAAAATTAAAAAAATTATTACGGACTCACTGGACGATGCACAACAGCGGAGTTGTAGATTAGGTTGTAACTACATTGGTCTGTAAAATATAAACAAAACTTGTAGACACGACTGCGCTCCGATGAAACAAATTACCTGCTTTAACAACGCAAAATATTTTTTATATATTTTCTTATATAATTTTTGTGTTTTTAGAGCAGATATTTGTGTTTTTAAAACAGAGAATTTGTATTTTAAAGGACAGAAATTGTGGTTTTAAAGCAAAGAATTTTGTTTGTCAAGCAGAAAATATTTTATTATGTATAATTTACACCTTTTCTATTTTTTTTTATATGGATAGAAGTTTAAATCCAACATTTCTTTAATTGAAATAACTGTAACTATATATATAAACACAACTACATCGTTGTCGCCCAAATATCTATAACGAAAAACATTATAAACATTATCAAAGAAGAATTGAAGCATTTTTTGACATTATTAAAGAAACGTATCCTATTAATAATAATGGCAAATAAATTATGTAAGAAAATCTTTTGCGTTATTAAAGTAGGGAATTTGTTTCATCGGAGCACAGTCGTATCCAAAAGTTAGATTTTATCGATGAACTTTTTTTATTAATAACTTTTTAACAAATAACGAGTTACGGCTGAAACCCCGTTCGAGGTCACTCAGTCATAATCTTGACATACATTGTATGTCAAGGTTAAAATCATCAGAGGAGGCTCCTCTCATCGACATATTTACCAAAATAAGTATTATATTTTCAATTTCAATTTAGTTTCTTTTGTTTTTCATGATTTATGATTATAATTATAGACGTGTTATGCAATCTTCAATGTAGCAGTCGAACTTCCCACGCATTTGAAGGATGAAAAATTTTTCATTAAATTAGTAGGACAAGCTTGCATGCCAGAAGTGATAATCATTGAACCACCGAGCACAAAACGAGAACGAACTGTTTTAAATTTTGGTCGTACACTTGTAGGTGAATCTAATGGAAAAAAATTTGCTTTTAAAAATATTGGTGTAATACCAACTGAAGTGATTATCGAAATTATCGAGGATCCAAATTTTCATTTTACTCTCAACATTTGCGAGGGTACAAGAAACTTGTCAAGTGGTTGGTACTATAAAATGAATCGTTGATTTAATTTTTCTTAATAAAGAAATAATTAAAAAGATAAATAAACATTTTATAAGAAAAGCTGTATTTATAATTTTTTACCGAGTTACGGTATTCTGAATATTGCGCTATTTTGAGCGTGTTCTAAAGTGTTCTCTATTTTTTCAAATCAACTTTTAATTTCTATGAAGTAAAATTAATATATTTAGTAGATATGAATATAGTTAGTAGGACTCAATAAAATTTATTATGAAATGATATAAATAATACTATCACGTTAAATAGCTAAATCGTTAAATTACAGTGTCAAACGATCGATGTATCGTAGTTCGTTTAATACCCGAAGAAACAGTTTCTCTCGAAGTAAAATTTACTCCGCGAGAGATCGGCAAGTACAAAAGTCAAGTGCGACTATTTATCGCCGATAATCCCTATGAGAATCTAACAATTGATTTGAAGAGCGAAACGTATACAGAATTAATTGTGTTAGATGGATTAGAGCTCACTAATACAAAGCTTAAGTCTGTCAATGAAAGAAGGGAATCTAATGCAAAATCGCGAAGATCGTCAAAATCAAATAGTACAACAAGAGGTAATCAAAAAGAAGAAAATATGAAAATAATTATAAAGAATATAATTATAAAGAATTATAATTTTACTACAATTTTTTTTCATTTTTGTTTATTACTTAACCTTTTTGATAAATTTGTCAAAAATATTTATTTATTATCCATTTTAATTATTTTCGATATGAGTATTAATGAATTATTTTGTAACAAGCAACAATATAATTTATGATACCTTTCATCGATCTCCTATAAATTCTCTTTCAAGTACAACTTATATATTTTTCATTGCTCTGTGATTTATACCTCACAGTTTCAACACCGACTACGCTCCCGGTTTCATTGATCTATAAGCTGGATTATGGATACTGCTTTGTTAATAAAATATACAGGAAGAGCTTCAAAGTCGTTAATAAATCAGTAAATCAGTATTTACGTTTTCAATGGAGCGCACATCCCAACGTTGTATTTACTCCGTCAATCGGTCATCTGAAATCTTTAACTTGTAAAGAAATCGTTGCGACATTTCTTTCTTCGGAGCCAACAATTTACATTGACGTAATATAAAATTATCAAGTTTTGCAAACTATTTGTAAACTATTTGCAAACTATCGCTAATTAATATTTGCAATTTGCGTAAATTAAAAAAATATTTTCTTTTAATATTGAAGTATATCAATAACAATTAATTAAAATTACATTATCGAAACTAGTACTCCAAAACGTACATAAAATATTTAACTAAGGTAATAAGAATATTTCTGTATATAAAAATAAATAAATTTTAACTAAAAAAATCAAAATAAAACATCAAATTTTATAAATCTTCAAGTAAAATCATAGTTGCATTTCTTTGTTTGGTATTGTTGCATATTAAACTCATATAAAAATATTGTTTTTTTATTAACAGACGCGTCTCGAATGTACAGTCTGTTCAATTGAGCTCGCCAATACCGTGAAAGAATCATCCTGGGACGATCGAGAGACAGAAGTACGGTGGGTAACAATAAATTTCGATGCTAAGGAGCCAAATGCGAAAATAGCTAAAAAAACAGTTGAGCCTGTTAACGAACCGAAACATGAAATCGTTCCTGGTACGACGAAGTGCATCCAAGTGTTATTTAACGCCATCGTAGCATTCTCCAAATATTCTTGCTCCGTTAAAGAGATCAATTTCAAGAACACACTAATATTTCAGGTTGTATACTATACAATTACGAATTTTATATAGTATGTTCAAATGTTAAATTAGACCATGATTACTACGGTGTAATTGATTTTGCTATAACTATATCGATAAGAATTTATATTTAAAAGGATTTTGAAATATGACACAGAAATTTTTTTTATTTAACATAAAAATGTAAAATATTTTTTCAAAGTTTGCAGAAATTTGTAAAAATTATTCATAGATATTTGTAATGTTTTTAAATTAGGGTAAAGCGGGGCTATTTTGTCCATTTCTCACGATATTGTGTATGTTTCTAAGCAATACTGAACATTTAAAGGTCATACTTGTACTCTCAAGAAGCAATCATGATGGTATAAGATAATTATAAGCACGTTACTGCAAAAAGATATTGTTTGTTGCAGTAAATTTTATATTATTTTAAGCTTGAAAATGACGGGATAGTCCCATTCTACCCTATCAATTTTCTCAATCTGCGATAGTTTGTTATATATTCCGTATGTAGCATAATATAATTAACAATTTCTCTTTTAAAGTTGAAACACTCAACTGATTATTTGATTTAATCGAAGCGAAAAATATAGATTATTAATAATTTCGCAATCGTTCATTCGTGTCGGGTTTAAATATTTGTTTGTAATAACGCGGATATTTTCTGAATTGACGCATCTGCAAATAAATCACGCGAACGTCATGAAATTCGATAAAATACAAACCATATCGCTGTTACTTTCATATCTGATTCAATTCTGACTCGTTTGCGCAAAAAATAAAGAAAAAAATCAAACTTCCACAGGCAGTGGATTATTTTACTTTTGTGTACTACTCGGTTAAAATCGATAATATATTAACCTTTCGGATGGTATTTTTGTTAAGCAAATCTATCATTACATGCTACATCTAAACATTCCTACTTTACATCATGAATACGTCAACTCTTACACGATTTAATTGAAAATTCGCTCTCTTTAAGTATGTAGTAACAATAATAGCAGCAATATTACAATTGTAATATTATTGTAAAAATTAATACAGAAAATGTAACACTGATATGTATCAATATAATTGGAAAGCAAATTGTACAAATATATTTCTCTGTAAAATTAACATTTATAGCATGTTTAATTAACACGGTTCAATGAAATTAATATTTACTATATATAAAATTGACACATTTTATTAGTGTTATATTTATTTTAGAATTTTTGATCTACGTTATTTTTATGTTATTATGTTGTTCACTTACTCATAAACTAAGAAATGTTGAATATCAATTTAATACAAAATGTTTAAATAACAGAATCATATAAATTAATACTCGAATATGTTACAAATTTTTAACACAAAGTTTTAATAAGGATTGATTTTAACATAATTACAAAATATTTTTTACTATACATATAGGTATAACGTTAACGTGTAAAGAAACAAATAGCGTTTGCGCGAATTTGACTTTTACAATTTTTGTGTGAAATATCACGAAATGTAATTAGCCATTCTTTGTCGACAGACTAGCGAACACTCGTTTATTTTTGCAAACACTGGTGCCGTCGACGTCGAATATACATGGCAGATAAACATGGACGAGCAGTATCCAGTGAGATCGATCGCAAATTATTCACGAGCCACATCAAGATCACGAAAGGACAATGTTCGATTTAAAGCTAACTCATTAACGTCTCACAAACTACCTCATCAACGACACAATCCAAGTTTCGACAAGAGCGTAAAATCGAATCGTCGACAGCTTCTGTCATCTCGAGGTAACTCAATTTCCGTACTGATTTATAAGAAAGAAAAACGCATCATATCCGAATCATTAAAAAATAAATGTCTACAGACAATTTTATCGAGGTGAAACCAACTGCTCGCTGTAGTCCATCCGATCTCTTCAGCAGCAGTGCCGGATTAACGGAACGAAGTAGTGATAGCTGGTTAGAGAGCGACGATTTACCATTTGAAATTTATCCCGAGAAGGGAATTCTACCCCCGGGTAAATCTGTGGAATGCGTCTTGAGATTCTCTCCCATGGACGTATTCGATTACAAAGCGTATCTTACGTGCAAGTACGATTACAATTTGTTTATTTGATTTAATTTAATCGTTTGATTTGATTCAATATTTAGTAACATAATAGAATTTATTCTAACTTGGCTCTAGGAGACAAAGAAGCAAGGTAAGGATGAGCGATATGCGTATCGATACACTAAAAATTGTTTTATTTAATATTTAATGTATATCTAGATCTTTTTTTTTAATATGCATAATTATTTATTGAATATAAATGGAATAGTACGCACACATACCGAATATACATTCTTGTCTCTATCGACTATGTGTTGTGTGTGTATGTTTCAATAATAAAGATATTTTCAAAAATTAAAATAAAAGAAATATATAAGCTACAACTAACCGGTAGAGTCACGATGTGAGATATATCTTTATCCGTTTATTCAACGGGAGAGATTTATCGTATCCATAAATTCTTGGCATTGCCCGTATACGCGCGTTTGTCCGGTGAACAGAATGGAGAATCTCGAGCTACCAGAGTTGATTATTCCCATCGTGGGAAGAAGTTTGTTGCCATACTGCCACTTCGACATACCGGAAAGCGACTATCTGTCCAGCGATAGACGCGACATGAAACTGCCTGGACCCATCGGTTACCAACCGGATGATAATTCTCTTCCGGAGGGCACGAGAGTGATTGAGCTCGACGTGATCGGAATCAGCGGATCTCACATAAAGTAAATATTATGGGCGTTTTTCAGCAAGGACACAATGTAACACAGTGAATTATTATATCCTTATTGTACGTTATATATAATATTAAACAAAGATGGAATAATTCACTGAATTACACTGTGTTTTTGTTGAAAAATGTTCTATGTCTAATCAAAGAAGCACAAATACAAACGCGTTATCACAAATTTCAGAAAATTCCGAATGATAAATCCGACATCAGATGATTATCATTTCATCTGGGAGGATCGTACTCGTCACGTCGAAGACGAGATTCCAAAATTTCATTGTGCACCTCCGGAAGGAATCGCTGAGCGAGGAAAACAAGTCGACTTCGCATTTACGTTTCTCGCGGAGAATATCGGCATTTTCGAATCCTTTTGGTTGTTCCGTGTTGAAAAATACAATCTGGAGTATCTCTTTCTATTCGTCGCGACGGTCAGAAAACCATCAATTTGTTGTTCTCATGTCCATTTAAAAATGAGACCAACCGTAATGGGTTAGATGAAGAGACCAATAGAAAAATATACTCTCTAAATTCTTTGGAGTAGAATCTTACTTGTTTTGAAAAAGAATGGCTTAATTTTATATCTTTAAGAGTGATATTTTATTTCTCAGAGTGAGATTCACTTTAAAAGTTTTAGGGAGTACAAGTTCCATATAATTATTATATATTAATATTTGTATTTTCTATATAGGCATCAATGTGCGAGAATCGATAAGCATAATCAATAAAGAGGAATTTCAGATTCCCTTTCAGATCACGCGGGACTCTTTATATTCTGAAGGACGTCTTCAATATTTGAAAATAACGCCTATAAGTGGCATTTTGCCTGCAAAAGGCGAACAAATATTTTGGTAAACATAGAACAAGCAAGAGTTCTGAACATAAATTTTTTAGACCTTAATTAAATACTTTTTATTTTTGTAGGGTCGAATATCAACCTACACTTGTCGGCAAATTTCAATTTTCTGTAAAATGCATTATAAAAAGAATGAAGGCACCATTGACTATATTTGTTACAACGACAACATACGATATTATCGTTTCGGTTACATATGTCGATAAAAACGGCCAGATAGTTCAATTAAATCAAGATAAAGAGAATATTATCGACTGTGGAAAAGTGCGTGTATAATAATTTGTTTTAACATTAAAAATAAATTTTAACAATATTAAGCATTCTTAATTTTTAGTTATTGTTAAAAGCGCCTGTTACTATCGTGTTTGAAATAATAAACTCGAGTAAAATGACGCTTTATTATTCTTGGGATCTCGGAATGACATCAGAAATAATTAGCAGAAATATATACACGATTGCAATGCCTCAAAAGCAGGACCATGTGCTTAGCAAGTCGCGTTCCATCTGTTCTCTCATTGTTACAGCATCACAAAAGACGGTGATAAAGAATCATCCCATTCTCTTGAAGGTAGCGTTATCGTTTAGATGTCAATATTGCCATATGTTTTATGAGAAATATAAACGTAAACTTTGCAAATCTATGTCCTTTTTCTTTATTCAGATTTCCAGAGGACCGACCTACCGACTAATCTTAAAAGCGACGGCAAACAAATCAATTCTAGAGTTTAGTTTTAATTATTACGACTTTGGACCTTGCTACATTCGAGATGTTTCTGAGACTCCTTATCATGTCGATTTGCGCATTACGAATTCAGATGATGTTTCATACATGTAAGCTGATTTAACGTACTTACAGGAAATTGAGACATTAATTTTGAAACGAAACAATTAATTTTCACAGACTGGAGTGCAAGTTTGAAGAGAAACCACACATCTCTGTAAATCTGAACGCTCTTTCAGAGACAATAGTCGCTCGATCAAGTATTGTCATTCCGATAACATTTCGACCTTTGAAACAGGTGCACTATTGCGATGATTTACATTTTATAATCAATTCGACGATCGAAAAAAAGATTACTATAACTGGCGAAGGAATTATATATAAGGTATTGACACGCATAAATGTATGCATTAAAAATTAATCCAACATATAGCTTATGTCATTCGTTAACAACTCATTAAATATTTGACGTCATTGTAGTCAATGCAAAAACTTATTGTAAATGTTATACCCGCAGAATTATTTTTACTTGTACCCTGTTATGACAGATTCATTTAGTAAATCCACGCGACAAATCGGTGGATCTTGGTAGTCTGCCGATTAACAAAACAACAAGCAGAAAAGTGCCAGTGATCAACGATGGACGTGCTGCGCTCGAATTAAAGTTCGATCTCATGAAGAATCTACCTGGATATGATGCATTCCACGAAAGAATTCAAAATTGTCCGTTGATCAATCAGGAGAACTCCAAAATGGATCGCACTCGAGCATCGATAACTGAAACGAAACGTTCGAATACCCTTGACGAAACTCTGCAGACGGAACCTAATCTGTCTCAAGTTCTGGAGATCGAGCCGGCAGAATCGATCGTACTTCAGCCAGGGAAAATCGCGAAAGTTGTTGTAAAGTACAAACCTATTCGCAGGATGCATCCTTTTATCGTTAAGGTGGCTTTTCAAACCAATTCTACGATCCAACCGTTATTTATCTTGCGCGGAAGCTGTATAGGCGCGGAATTCCGTTTGAACAGGACTTATGTGCCTTTCGGTATCGTTGTTCAAGGTTGTCTCAGCGAAGCAAAGATAGTGCTATTGAATACGGGAGATATTGGTGCCAGGTTGGTGCCATAAATAAAAAATAAACAACGAATATATAAGACTTTATATTAATCTGAAAAATCAAAAAATTTTGAAATATCTTGAAGTTACATAAAGTTCTTAAAAATATGTTCTTTTTTTAAACAAACGATTTAAGCGTCCTTTACTGGTCAAAGCTACATCTTTAATCCTTAAATAATTCAATGTGAATCATATATATA